AAAAACAAGGCAGAGTGGTAACAGACCAGGGTAGAATGTTGCCAAAGTAACCGCGAGACGGCAGTGCCAAGGCAGATATGCAAATGCATTCTACACGTTTTTGTTTTTAAATCGCATGTCAAATTGCCAAATAGCCTGTGGTTGAAAATCAGATCAAGACAGCGACATCTGGTGGATGTTTTGGAAGTGACCTTTGGGTCTCTCTACTAGGACAATACCTGAAGTGCTCCTTCCCCACTGTCAATCACTACTGGCCTCTCCATTATTAATTACACTAGCAAAAACCAATCTTTCATTAGGACCCAGGGTCTTTACATCTCAGGATCCAGATTTCTGACATTCAGCTGCCCTCTGAGGGATGTATGCAAAATCTGACATCCCAATTCTTCCTTTATAGGTTACTTATTCTATAAAATGTTCATATTGCCGGATGGTGGTGGCACACGCCTTTAATCTCAGCACTCGGGAGGCAGAGCCAGGCGGATCTCTGTGAGTTCGAGGCCAGCCTGGATAACAGAGTGAGATCCAGGACAGGCACCAAAACAGAGAAACCCTGTCTCGAAAATAATAATAATAATAATAATAATAATAATAATAATAATAATAATAATAATAAAATAAATGTTCATATCTGGTTATATGGAGCCAGCTTGCTTTGTATTGAAGCAACAAGAACAATTTTTGCATTGAAAAATAATCCAACATGTATTCTTCCTCCAAGAGCATGGCTGTGAAAATTGGACTCTCTTTTCAACTCCATTGACCATTAGTGCAGCAGGAACCAGACATGACTAGTCCCTGAACACATTGTGCTGATCCACTTAGAAAAAAAAATGATGTTTAAATTTTTTTTCCTGTGGGGAAGTGTTCTGTACCCTGAAAACTCTCGTGTTTTTCTTCTGTTTAAAACTTTATCTTGGCCTGGTGGTGGTGGTGGTGGTGGGGGCAGCAGCAGTGGCGCACGCCTTTAATTCCAGCACTTAGGGAGTAGAGGCAGGCGGATCTCTGCGAGTTTGAGACCAGCCTTGTCTACAGAGCTAGTCCCAGTACAGCCAGGGTGGTTGCAGAGGGAAACCCTGTCTCAAAAAACCAACCAACCAACCACCAAAAAGCCCCCAAAACAAAACTGTATCTGGGCTGGAGAGATGGCTCAAAGGTTAAGGGTGCTGCCATTACATTCAATTTCCAACACCCACTCACATGCACATACACACACATATAAGAAAAAAATAAAGTCTTTGATTAGAATTATACCAAGTCATTCTATTATAATGTTATTTAATGTATAAATTGTATTTTGTTATACATAATAAAGTATGGTTTAAAGGAACAAAAATAAAATACCAACCCATGGGTGAAAAAAAAGTTCCTATCTTTTCAAGTAATCTGAAGTTGCTTATTTTCTTTTTTAAACATGTGAATGTTTTCCTGCATGTGTCCGTTCACTTCATGTGTTCTTGAGCACCATGGAGGTCAGAAGATCCCCTGGAACTGGAGTAACAGACAGCTGTGAGCTGTCATGTGGGTGCTGGGAATCAAATCCAAGTCCTCTTCAAAAGTAGTCAGGGCTCTTCACCACGGAGCCATCTCTCTGGCCCCCAAGCTACTTATTTTCAATGTGAGTGGTGGAGAGATTTGGAAGTCCAACAAAAAGGAGCCGATAAATGGTCAAGACGATTATAGCCAATCGAGGCACGGTAGTCATACTTGGAATTTCAGACCTCCACAGGTTGAGGCAGGAGGAGGAGTCCCTCATGTTTGAGGCCAGCCTGAGCTACACAATGATTTTAATGCCAGACTAGGATACCTAGCAAAACTCTGCCTCAAAAAGTCACTCTGCAGGGCCTGGAGAGACGGCTCAGCTGTTAAGAGCACAGGCTGCTCCTCCAGAGGACCCTGGATGGATTCCCAGCACCTACATGCCAGCTCTCAACTGTCTGCAACTCCAGTTCCAAGGGATTGAACACCCTCCTCTGGCCTCTGTCAGCACCAGGCATGTATGTGGTGCACAGACATACATGGAGGCAAAACACCCATACACATAAAGTAAAATAATAAAATTATAAAAATGAAAGACAAATAAACATTGGACAAAGTTAACAACATCAAAGTTCGTGTATAATAGGATCTCATGGGAAACATTTGCAGAGACGAAAAGACTGGAAGAATATAGCCTAGAATTTTCACAGTTTGCTTTTGGGAGGGAGTCTTATGGGTTATTTTAAAATGTTTTAAATCGTAATTTGCAGTGTTTCTCAAATGCTCTGTAATTAACATTACTTTTGAACAAACTTTAAACAATGCATATATACTAACAGCTAGAGTTTTCCAACCTCAGCCTGGTTTTATTAATTCCAGGAAAAGGATAAGGAACTGATGCCCAAGTGAACTAGAATTTCTACAAGGAGGAGGAGGAACAAAGAAGGAGTCATCACACGCCTGAGCAGCCCCACACTCACGTGAGGTCATCACACTCCTGAGCAGCCCCACACTCACGTGAGGTCATCACACTCCTGAGCAGCCCCACACTCACGTGAGGTCATCACACTCCTGAGCAGCCCCACACTCACGTGAGGTCATCACACTCCTGAGCAGCCCCACACTCACGTGAGGTCATCACACTCCTGAGCAGCCCCACACTCACGTGAGGTCACCACACGCCTGAGCAGCCCCACACTCACGTGAGGTCATCACACTCCTGAGCAGCCCCACACTCACGTGAGGTCATCACACTCCTGAGCAGCCCCACACTCACGTGAGGTCACCACACTCCTGACAGTACACCAGAACTTACGGAGGGCGCACCAGGCATCGTGGAGCTACAGACTCTCATAACCATGTGAGTCCCCATCTTCAGTGTCCTTAGAAGAGCCGCCTCCGGGCCACCTTAAAACAGGAAAGGATGACATGTGAAAACACATAGGAGGAGGAAGAATTCAAAAGCTAAATTAACCTAGGAGGGGTCAGGCCCCAACTTATCTTGAAGTAGAAGACTTAGGACCCTGAGGAGCAGCTAAGTTATTGTGATCACAATAGGGCCATCTCAGCTGCATTTTCTCTTATTTATGTGTTGTGTGTGTGTGTGGGGGGGGATGGAGATGGTGGCCGCAGAGGCCAGAAGTGGGGAGGGAGCCCCTGGAGCTGGAATTACTGGAGGCTGTGAGCTACTGAGTTGGCTGTTGGGAACTGAAGTCAGGTCCTCTGGGAGAGCAGCAACCACTCTTGACAACTGGGCCATTTCTCCAGTTCTTCAGTGACATTTTAAAACAATTTCAATTTAGGTTTTCACAGAAATAAGAAGGATGTTTTCTTGGCTCGCCCCCCCCCACAAACCCAGTCTTTCCTAAACTTGTCAAAAAAACAAAACCCATAGGATATATTCAGATAAGCAGAAGAAATACCAGATGATCTGCTCCTGGCACACCTTCCATTCTTCAGGAACTTTTTATTTTGTATACTCAGGACTTTTAACCACCACAGACAGCGTATACATTGAGGTGGAGGGTGGGAGGTTGAGAAAGGGATCCATGTAACCCAGGCTGGCCTCCAATTTTCTCTAGAGAAGGACTTTGAACTCCTCCTGATCCTCCTGTCTCCACTTTCCAAGTGGTGAGATTATAGGTGAACATGCCACACCTGGTTTAGCATTCATAATTATTTTTTAATGTATGAGTGCTCTATCTGCATGTTTGACTTTATGCCAGAAGAGGGCATCAGATTCCACTACAGATGGTATGAGTCACCCTGTGGTTGTTGGGAATTGAACTCGGGAACTCTGGAAGAGCAGCCAGTGCTCTTAACCTCTGAGGCATCTCTCCAGCCCAGCATTTATCATTCTAAGACAGAATGTGTCTACATAATTTTATGTTTACATAGTGTTAATTACAGCATTTTATTTTACCCTCATAGTTAAGAACCCTTGGACGGGGTTATTTTGTTTACCCCTCGACAACACGTAGAAAATACGCGAGGGAGTTGCTCCAACAGTTTGCAACGAAGGCAGTCTTCCAGCCCATCTCTTTTGAACCTGCTTGTACTAACTGGGTCTGTGTCAGCGAACAAGCCTAGCAATTGCTGTATCGGTCGGTGGTGGTGATAATGAGGACGAGACGCCTGAATTTTATGTAAAACTACAACGTTGTAAATTCACATAGACTCTCTACAAGACTGATACTATCAACACTAGTGTGTGTGTGTGTGTGTGTGTGTGTGTGTGTGTGTGTGTCTGTGTGTCTGTGTGTTCCCACGAGCGTGCTGCAATTCCCTTGTCAGTGCCTGTCTTTCAGGAAATCAGCCTCTTAACGAACCAACAGGTGTATTTGGGGAGAGTGGTATGATGGGTTAAGAAAGAGAAGTGAATTACAACTCATCTCCAAGCTCTAAAGTCTGAAGCAGAACTGTACACTAAGATTCTACAGGGTTCAGTGAGAGCTCAGACCCCAAAACTTCTGCCTCCATCCCCCCACCCTCACCCCTCCCGCACCTCGTCCCCGCCGGATGTCCCTACTTCCGATCTGGATGCTCAACAGGTCATAATAATATTTCTCAGGTACCCACCACTTTTCGGCACCTACCTCTTAAATTATCTGCCCGTTTGGTTCAGCATCTACCAGGCTGGAAGGCGCTTCTTCTGAGCTGCGCGTTCCTGCTGCCATGGCGACAAGGAGGCTTGCAAAGGCCAGGCCTGCCTGGCCGGGACGAGAGCCAGCCAGTGCAAGCCTTGGCCTGCCTCCTGCCTTGCAGGCCCCGCCTCCAGCCGGCCAAGAACACGCCCCTACCATTCTGGACCCGCCTTCTAGCCTCCAGATCACAACCCCTGCCAGTCTCCTCGCTCATATGGTCCCGCCCACTTCCCGCCTTCAGCCAATGGGAGCTTGCACTCTGTTCACCAAGCCGTATCCCAACCGCTGACTAGAGAGCAGGATGTGCAGGCATCTCCGTTGGCTGGATCCTTCCATATTGTGGGCTGGGACATGTTGCAAAACCCAGCCCCAGGAACAACCACTCAGCCTGTCCTTCATACTATTTATTTATTGATCCTAACGGTTCCTCAGAAGAGAGCTAACAGTCCTCCTACAAGGAGAGTTTCTCCAGGCTGTCCTCTCCAGGCTGTTAGTGTCCACAATTTGAAGTCCTTGCGGCCCGTGGTTGAAGAAGACTAGAATCTGTCAGTCCCCGTCCCCATCTCTGTGTTAAGGTCTGAAGCCCTTGACCCAGCTACTAGGTTAATTTCCCACAGCAGTCCCGGGGCCGTGTGCAAAAGCTCCAAAAGCTTTTTCAGAACGCTTCCTCAGAGGTTTTGAAGTAAAAGTGTGTAAAGGGGATATGATTAGCTGAGCATAGTGGCTACATGTCTGTAATCCCAGCACTGGGAGTGGGAGGCTGGGATAGATCAGGATTTCAAGGCCATCCTCAGCTATGTGGCAAATAAAAGAACAAAACAAAACCCCAAATATCATTAAATAATTCCTACCAGAAACAGCCAACGTGCATAAAGGGTTCCTGCTGCGTTTGAGAGTCCACGTAATGTTAGGGGTTAAAGGATGACTGTTTTGCACACTTAAATATTATTGGGAACTCAGCCCACTCATAGCCTTACCACAACTCCACAATAACAGTGGCAAACCAAAAGATTCATAGTGGAGAGAGTAGGGGGACCCATAATTCCAGATGTTCTGGTGTTCTTTAAGATTACAACATGGCCAACATCCCTACTGTCGAAAACAGTAAATTGTCCCCACAGTACTGTAAAATCGTGGAAGCCAGGACTTCCTTCCAAGGGCTCACACCAGGGTTCCATTGCTGCTGTCATATCGAGGTGTGGCCTGGGGGAAGCGGAGGGTGGCATACTCTGTAGCGGTTTCTAAATGCGGGTGTTTCACCTTCTTGCCAGAGTATGGCTGCACTTGGCTGAGCACATGAATGTCTGCATAATGCAAGTTGCTCTCCTCCGATGTGGAGTGTGAACTTTCCTTTTGAGATCCGGGCCGGTGTAACACTTGCTCATACATTGGTGCTGTTGTCTCACAGACCTGGCAGAAATTACCAGAATTAAGAGAGGCTCTTGGTTTGGTTTGCCCCTCACGTCCCATGCAGGGTCAGTTAGACCGAGATCCCTTTACTTTGCTCTTTTGGGAGGCCAGGTAACACATGAGTTCCACTCTTCCTGTGTATGTGTGTATGTGTGTGTGTGTGTGTGTGTGTGTGTGTGTGTGTGTGTGTGTGTGTAGAGGACAACCTCGGGAGAAGGCCCCTGCATTCCACCTTGTTTGAGACATGATCTTTCTTGTGTAGTGCTGCATAAGCCAGGCTAGCTGGCTGGAGAGTGTCGAGGATTCTCCAGTCTCTGTTTCCCATCTCCCAGGAGGGATGTGCTCGGGTTATAGAAACTTCTGCTACTGCCTCTGGCTTTTATCTGGGTTTTAGAGATCGGAACTCCGATAGTCAGGCTTGCACGTAAGTGCTTTACCTGCTGAACTATCTCCCCAGACTGACACAGCAATTTCTACAGATGGTTGAGATGAAGCTGTCTCGGGGTGAAAAAGCTGAGCACTGGGATCCCTCCTCGGAGTGAGCCTGAGAGGGGACTGTCATTACCTTGGTGCCATTCTGCCGGAGCTGTTGCTGCTTCAGTATGCTCAGTGTGGGTCTGGCTGGGCTCCCTGTGGGGGAAGAAAGCCAACTTAAACTCATTCTCTCTTCCCCATCTCTACTGAGACTGCCCTCTTCAAGTGTCTATTATAGACTGTTGGAGTGGGCTTCTAGCAAGTCTCTCTGGCTGCATTTGCCCTTCTTTCACTTCTACAAGCCTACACCCAGACTCTTTCCCAGGATACACAACCTGACCCATTCTCCACCTGGCTCTACTGTCTTCCATCCTCTTTGCTCACCAGCCGGAGCTCGCATTGTGCTAGGCTCTGGGCCACGCTCTGGGGAGATAAGGATGAGTAAGCTATTTCCTCTTTCTTGGGAAATCTACAGCGGACCTGGGAAGACACATGACTTAACAGGCTACTACAAAGATGTGGTACGTGCTCAGCTACACCATTGGGCCACTTTCAATCAGACCATTTATTTCCCCCCAAGCATTTGCATGCGCTAACTCCTCAGCCTCTGCCGGCACCCTCTTCTACTGACTGGTGATCTTTGCATTATTCCGATGGCATCGGGTGTTTTCTCTGTATTCTGCTATACACCAGCAGACGATATTATAATTATGTATTTACATGAATCTGCCTCTCAGAGTTGGTTTTCAGTTCTTCCAGAGCTGAGACCTTGGAACCTTCCCTTGGGCTTCTCTTCCTCATTGTGAACCCACGGAACAGCTCCCCTACAATACAAGTGCTCAGTGGTATTTTGTGGGTAAATGAAAGCCTGAGCAACCAACTCTGCCCCTCTGAAGTAATGGGAAAGGTAAGATCCGTAGGTGAAGAGCTAGCCTTGGATCCAATAAACTCAAGATTCTTTGTGTTCTATCACCTCCCTTTGTCTTATCCAATGTCATGTCTCTTTTCTACGCCTTCTCCAAGGATGTTGGTTTTACTGTCTTCTCGGATTTCCCTTGCTCACAATACCCTCCCCCAATTACCTGTTTTGTTTTTCTTCTGGAAAGTTGATGGGCAGCTCCTGTGTAGAAAAACAGATCACCCATGTGCAAGAGTTCTGTATGTTCTCTCCACCACAGTTACTCTGTGGGCTCTCCTTCACATTCTTGGATGACTTTCTCCCACCACCCCAAAGATTCACTCTGTGCCAGGGTCAACCTGAAAGTATCTGTAAAGGATACAGTACCTCTCCTAGATGGATGGTTCCGGAAAGTAGAGTGGTAAAACTGACATAACCAAACCTAAAATACAGGTTTAGGCAACCAGGCACTACATGCCAGGGATGTTGCTTGCATGAAGGCTATTCTGGGATTGTCTATCAAGCTAATCCCAGTAGAGGCTAAGGGAAATGTGCCAAATTATGGAATATATTCCTGGATCCAGAGACTGAATCTTCAGTGCTATTTTTTGGGGCGTGGGGGTGGGGAGATCTTTGGCAACCTGGGAGTTCTGGGAGTCATAGGAGCTGTGACAACCAGGGCTCTCTAGCTAAGGCCCCCCGCAGAGCTCTGTTCCAGTAAGTAGCTACCCTTCTTGCTGCCCTGTCCTTGTTTTTAGTTAACAGAAGTGAGAAATGCTTTGCTTAACCTTTAATGCCCTTTGGAGCACTCCAGCTACAGAACTGGGAACACCGAATTTGGGGAGTGACTCAGCAGTCACGCTCCTGGGGTCCCTATGGAGCCGGCATGTCTACGTGACCATCAATGATTGATGCCGGGGGAGACAACACTTGTCTGAGGAAACAGGGTGAATAGTTTTAGACTTACTCTGGGAGCCGCTTCTTGCTAGTATATTTCCAGATCTCACCAGAGCCCTGTCTGTCTGACTTTGCCTCTCCTCAGGAAGTTTCCTTCTCTTGGAAATTAAAGGAAGAGAGAGGCATGCAGATATCTAAATCATGTTGTCTGAATTCCTGTGGGGGTGGGGGAACCAGGATTTTTCCACACATGTTTTCCACGCTCTGTTTTGAGGCAACTTCCTTAGAGCCAGGGAGTTGGTCTTCAGCTGAACAGTAAAGGTGGTTTGGCAGAAAGCCAGCAGCCTCTGTCTTCCAACTTCCTCCGCTGCTTCAGCTCTCGCTTTGTGTTACGACTGCCGTGTCACAGGTACACGGTAGGTAGGAACCCATGCCTTGCCCCTTGCCACTCCTCTTTCCCTACTTGTTTCTATTTAAGTGGAGAGAGAGAATATTAATCTCAGAATACATGACCAGAACCATCCAATTTTAGTGGACAGAGCCTCTTCCCAAGTTGGATGTTGCCTAGAACCCAGACACAGCCTGATAGTCATAGGTGACAGAATTAGTTTGAGATTAGACTTCAAGAATTTAAACAGGCCATTTTTCCACAGTAGTCATAAGAATAAAAGTTGGAACAATCCTTTCAGAATGCAATTGGCAATAAGGATAAAGATCTTTAAACATAACTGCACATACTGTCTGATATAGCAATCTCATAATCCCAATACATAATCATATATAGGTAGATATGGATACTTATTGTGGAATTATTGTCTCAAAATAGGAAACATCTTACATCATCAATATTGTTGAGTGACTAAATAAATGGTAGAATTAGAAAATGGCAAACTAAGCCGGGTGGTGGTGTCGCAGGCCTTTAATCCCAGCTCTTGGGAGGCAGAGGCAGGTGGATCTCTGAGTTTGAGGTCTACATCGTGGTCTACAGAGCAAGTTCCAGGACAGCCAGGGCTACACAGAGAAACGCTGTCTCGAAAAATAAACAAACAAAAAAAGTAAATAAGGGCCAAGTGTTGTGGTGCCCATCTTTAATCCCAGCTCTGGGGAGGCAGAGGTAGGCAGATCTCTGTGAGTTCGAGTCCAGCCTGATCTATAAAGTTTCCAGGACTACACAGAGAGAACTTGTCTCAAAAGTCAAACAAGCCGGGCGGTGGTGGCGCACGCCTTTAATCCCAGCACTCGGGAGGCAGAGCCAGGCGGATCTCTGTGAGTTCGAGGCCAGCCTGGACTACCGAGTGAGTTCCAGGAAAGGCGCAAAGCTACACAGAGAAACCCTGTCTCGAAAAAACCAAAAAAAAAAAAAAAAAAAAAAAAAAAAAAAAAAAGTCAAACAAATAAAAAAAAATATGTACACAAATATAGGCAGGTATAGGCAGAGACCTATTGATGGTTTGATACACACGCTCATCATGTAGCCTTGGCTACCCTAGAACTGTCTGTCTCTGCCTCTCAATCTCTGGTGTCAAAGGCATGCACTACTATGCTTAGCCAAATTTCCTATTATTGCCACCTTCTGCATCTGTCACTTCCTGCTACACAGCACGTGCTCAGTAAATGTTTGTTTAGTAACCAAATAGATAAATGAACTAGCAGGCACAGGACTTGAGTCCAGGCTTCTGTCTTCAAATTGTAGGTGCTTTCCAATGTACCTCACTCTTCTCTCACTTTATTTGGAAATAAGTAATCTTTGAACTCTGTCCCAGACGAGGAACAATCCAGCCAGAAGGCAGATGACAGGACAAAGCCGTATTTGGGAGTTTGTAGTAGTGGTGAACACCCTGGGGGGAAATTTATAAAACCACAAATAATCTATTATTAGGTGTTTTTTGTTGTTGTTATTTGTTTTTGTTTTTACTAGTTTTTGCTCTCCAAAACAAACCTATGCTGCAAACAGCAGGGACTGTGCATTTTTACAAAAGTGAGGCCCAGAGAAATTACAGGACTGCCTGAGGCCACACAGCAAATCGCACAAAAGTTACATTCACATTTCCCATGGACGCTCTCCTTCCCACTTCTGCCACCTCAAACAAACACTTGTCCAAATCCTGTTGCTCAATCCCTGATCGCCTCTATGATTACCTAGCAAGGAAAGTATGGGTTCTGAAGTCCAGCAGCCCGTGTGGAATCTTGTTTTACCTGCTAAGTCACTAGCCACGTGACAGTCATATTGGTTAACCTCCCTGAGCCTCTGCTTCTGGACCGGGAGCAACTGTAAGACCACTTACGGAGGTGTTGGGACAGTTGCGATTGTAAGTGGCCGCCCATAAAGGGCACTCAAACGCTTCAATTATTATGGTCTGGGGAAGAAAGGAAAGGAGAGCAGGAAAGGGAAAGGAGAGAAGAGAGACACAAGGCCGGTCCATCGGTCCAGCTAACTCTACACTCTACAGATTGCTGTTTTCTAAGGCGTCCTAAGGTCCTGCTCTGGTGCTCCACCCTGGACGTGGCGGGTGGAGGAAGGCACGGTCTCTCCAGGCTCTCTCTGATTCTCAGGGTTTCACATCCACCACCGGAGACGGTCCCCTCCACCTCTCGGCCCTACTCACCAGCTTCCCCCACAGCACAGCCTGTTTCCCATGGCGGATGCGTCTCCCCGGGAGCCCAGCTGGTTTTCGGACATAAAGAGGTTGCGCATTTCCTGGTTCCCTGTTGAGCGAACCGCAGCAGCTCCCAGGGAGTCGCTGTCAGTGTCAGATTTCAACCAAGTAGGTTGGACCTTGGAAGCCACCTGGTGGAATCATTCCCAGGTGATTGTTCCCAGCCAGAGGGTGGAAAGACACACGGGCTCCAGGTGAGAGTTATCTCACCTTTGGGATTTGAAACTTCTTTTGATGAAGCCACAAACTTTGAGCTGCAAACTTCGTTTTAAAAAGAAACCTGAGATACAAAAGGGCTCCGAGTTTCCACAGGAAATGTTTCTCACTGTATCTCACTGCCTTTGAAATATATCCTTCATAACGGAGCAAAGGGTTCTCCCTCATGTCTGCCCTGCCACACTCAGGTTTGAGTTTTACTGTCAAGATAATTGGTACCAGTTTCATATGTCCACAATATGAGGCTTTTGGAACCTGAAATGTAGGGAAATGGAATGCTCTCACATTCTCACTATTAGAAGTAATGTGTGCAAATTTCCTAACCCTTTACCATCTAGATTTCCAGCACAGGGAGGCATAAGCACCGAATGCATTACCTCATCCTCTTTCTGGTATAAACCAGATGGTTCTGTGGTTGGAATGGAGCACTCACTGTCCTCTTCCCAGCTCAGGACTACAAAATCTCCACCTACCCCTGCTTGCAGCTTCTGCTTCCAATGACCCAAATTTGGGCCTGTTCCTCACTGGCCAGTAGCTATGATGCAGCTGAGTGAATTCCATTAGAAATTGGGTTGGGTATGGTGGCGCATGCCTTTAGTCCCAGCATTTGGGAGGCAAAGGGCTGGGGATCTCGTGTGAGTTTGAGGTCAGCCTGGTCCACAGAGCAAGTTCCAGGACAGCTAGGAATTCATAGAGACCCTGTCTCAAATAAACGACAACAACAACAAAGGGAAAATATGGCTCCAAGAGAATCTTTGGATAATTCCAATCGTCAATATTTTCTTGGCGTCTTTTGTTTGTTTGTTTGTTTTTGGTTTTTGTTTTTTTCGAGACAGGGTTTCTCTGAGTAGCTTTGCGCCTTTCCTGGAACTCACTCTGTAGCCCAGGTTGGCCTCGAACTCACAGAGATCTGCCTGCCTCTGCCTCCCGAGTGCTGGGATCAAAGGTGTGCACCACCACCGCCCGGCTTTTCTTGGCATCGTTAGTGTTGTCCTGGGATGCCCATAATCAGCCTTGCGCTCCGCAGAGTATGCTGGATTCTGGACTCTTCCCCATCTTAGGAAAAATGGGGATGTGAGAGTGACCGCCTTATAGGATTGTGACTACTGAATGAGATGGTGTGTATATAAAGCTTTGCTCCATGGCCCGACACACGGAACTCCCTCAGGAAGCCTTAACTAGTCTTACTACTATTACTTCTTCTTCTCAGCCAATGATCAGATGGTAAAGCGTTTCATTGTACTCTCTCGTGCTCCAACCCTTGCACAGGCTTCTCTCCTGCAGACCATTCTTTATTCTACTATTAACTATGTTCTTTTCATCCTATAACCTGCTTCCTCTCTCTGGCTCAAAAGCCAGTGATAATTTCCTGTTACTTACAGGATAGAATTCTCAAAGCCTTTCATGATCTGCTCCGTTGCCAGCCATCTCTTCGGTGGTAATTTACAGGAATGTATCCAGGAGATTTTCAGAGGGCCAGAAACTCCACAGAAAAGACAAAAAGCACTTGGAGTATAAAACTTGATATGCCTTAAGCAGATTAACACAAGTGTAGAGTGATATCAGACTAATGAGTATTCTATTGAAATCTGACCCGGTCAGTTTGTGTCTAATTCAACTTTAGGCTTCTCGTTGACTGTCAAGTTCTATTGTCAGTGTGTGTAAGAGGTGGTACAGAAAGTGCTGCAAGATATGGCTGACGGGACACGGCACAGTTTCAGTGTGGGGGAGGGGCTTCAGAAGCAATCAGCCAGCCCTGGTTGTGCCAGCGTGTCGGAGGCCAGCCCTGTGTGGCTGAAGTCCCGAGTGAAGGTGTATTGTGATATGGGGGGAGTGGGGGGGGCACTCAGCCTTTTGAGTACGGATGTTTAGGAAGGATTGATCAGTATGTACAAAGACCAGCAACTTCGGCCTCCTCCCTGCCAAAGTTTGCAGCCCAACACAGAGACCTCCAACCAAGCCTTGCTGACCTTCCCCTTGGTGCTGTATGTAACAAACATGCTGAGGTGCTAGGGAACTGAGCCCAGCTTCATTGTATGTTTGTCTGTGCAACTGTCCTTCATTCCCTCGACATCCCTAGCTAGGGTTCCGAGACCCAAGCTTTTTAGGATTCTGTACGAGCCTGTAATCTCAGATACTCTGGAGTCTAAGGCAGGAGGCTAGACCAGTCTGGGCTACATAGAGGATTCAAATCCCATCTGGGCTGCCTTGCTGCAAGCCGCAGGAAAACGTAATGGAATTCAGCTACTATCACAAAAGCTACTACTTGGAAAAGTCAAGGACTTCTCCAAAGGTCAAGCCATGGCTTAAGAAGTCTTGGTGATACTTTAGCATATATATATATTAGCTGGTTCCTAAAATGATTTTCTTGTGTGCTTCCAAGAACTACTAACAGTGTATTTATCTAAAATGCCTGTCAAGCATCCAAGGCTATATGAAACAACACCTGTCTCCTAGGTCAGGCAGATAGCTTTATTTCTTGTGCATTTAAGGGTGAGACCCTCCTTTCTTATACAACCTTATTAATAGACCCCTAACTTCTTACCTAACCACTTCTAGGAATGTAGACTGAGCACATAGATCCCTTTTTGATGTACTAACCGGTCATTAGCACTCAGTTGACCTCCTCTTTTACCACTCCCATTTTGGGTTGTAAAAGAAGGCCTGACAGTCACTACCTGAGGAAAATTCTTACCTACCTTTATGACCCTGTAGAATTCAAGCCTGGTGAATTTGCTAGGCCAGAGGATTGCTATTGCTTGGGTTTATAACTGGATTCCAGAGAGACTTAAGGAGAACTGGGAGAATAAAGAGACGGAGAAGAGACAAGAGAATGAAAGAACTAGATGGGTAAGAACTTGAGAGGAACAAACTGAGATTGGGGAAAAACTAGACTGAAGGGCTAGAAGAGAGGACTAGAGGAACGAGATGGAAGATGAGGAAGAGCCAGATGGGGAAGAACAAGATAGAAAGAAGGAGATGAGAGAGAAGCTAAGATGGGAAGGAACTAGATGGATGAGAACCTAGACGGGGCGGAACTAAGATGAGAGAATTAAGACAGAACTTAGAGGGGACAGCAGATAAATGTAGAGAGAAATCAGGCAAGAAAGGAGCTAGGCATGAGAGCAGAATAGAAGCTGTGTAGAGAGAGAACTGACTCAGAGTAATAAAAGTGTATGGACTAAGGAGTTTCGTGTACATAGATTCATTTCTTTTCATCAAAGATTAATTATCAGCTGGTTGTAGATTCTTCCCGGACCCTGGGAAGGGACTATGGAGGGGCTGGACCCCCATAGTCCATGATACTGCCTAGTTGGACCCAGTCCTAAAACAAATAGTAAAAACCAGGTCGATGGTAGAGTACTTGCCTAGCATGTACAAGGCCCTACCAAGGGTGTGTGTGTATATACATATATATGTATATGTGTGTATGTAGCTATGTATATGTAAGCATATATGTAAATATATAAATGTTTGTTTGTGAATATATATGTATATATAAATGTCCAATAAGAAAAATGGAGTGGGCTGTTTGTAAAGTTCAAAGTCTCTGCAATTCAAAATGTCACAGAAGTTGATTAATAACTTTTAAAGAAAATTTTGTTTTGCTTTGTTTTTTGAGACAGGGTTTCTCTGTGTAGCTCTGGCTGTAACTCGCTCTGTAGAACAGGCTGGCCTAGAACTTACAGAGACCCACCTGCCTCTGCCTCCCGAGTGCTGCGATCAAAGGTGTGCACCCCCACTGTCCAGCTACTTTAAAAGAGTTTTGATGAAGTGAAGGTTTAGATTAAATTAGAGATTTTCAAAATGTTTCCTTGTAAAAAAAGTCTTTTTTTGACTCAGGTCAGGGCTGAGTGGTAGGTAGAGTGTAAGTTTAATGAGTGTGAGGCCTGGCTTCCCCAAAATAAGTAAGTAGGCCAACTAATTTTAACTATAAAAGAAATTATGAAGCTGCTCAGGTTGTAATCTGAGGGGAGAACTTGAAAATCTTTATTTTATTATTACTTTTAGACAGGGTCTCATGAAGTCTAGACAGGTCTCAAACTCATGATGTAGCTGAGGATTGACCTTGGATTCCCAAACTTCCTGCCTCCGCCTCTCAAGAGCTGAGGTTGCAGCTGTGTGCCACTACACACCCAACTTCACTTACTTTCTTTTTTTTATTTAAAACTTTTATATGTGGGGTTGGGGATTTAGCTCAGTGGTAGAGCGCTTGCCTAGCAAGCGCAAGGCCCTGGGTTCGGTCCTCAGCTCTGAAAACAAACAAACAAAAACAAAAACAAAAACAAAAAACCCTTTTATATGTATTTATAAAAGGTGGCTAATTTTGCAGCGTCACGATTATAGGATTAAAGAGGTAGCATACCTCCTTTGCCTTAACCATTTTTAAGCTTTTTGCATAAAGATGAACATTCTTACTAATCTCATAGCTGATGATATAAAAACAAGTCAAAAAACTTTCCCTCAAAGGCTAGAGAGTTAATATCTTAAGTTTTACAGGCCACGTCTATAGTCTTTCTTTTATAGCTTTTAAAAATGTAACACACACACACACACACACACACACACACACACACACACACACACAGAGCCAAACTTGGTCTGCAAGTGGTAGTTTTCTGACCACTGCTATAATGTATCTGCTCTGTTTTGTCATAGAAATTGTTCTCTTCATACTTACGCTCAGCCTTTTAAATTTCTTCTCACCTAGATGTTAGGTTTACTAAGAGTAGCTAATCAAAGATACCCATTCCTTATTTATATTTCCAATGCTTGTGTCCCATACTTTATTGCTTGATTTGTATATTACTTGATGAATATTTACTGAACTACTAAATGGAGAGGTGAATATAATCAATGTTGTTTCTCTGAGGTATGCCTTTATCGTATTTGTTCATTATGGAATATGCTGGGGATCTACTCCAGAGCCTTGTGCCTGTCAGGCAAGCACTCTGTCACTGAGATACACTCCAGGTCTTGCTTTGGTTTTGAAAAGAAAGAGATTTTTACGCCAATAATCAAATTATTTGAAGAAGAGCTCTTACCTCAGAGGTCCACACATCCCTCTTAGGGTATGAATGGATCTTAAAATCTGTGCTGATGAATCTGCAAGTGTGTGTATTTTTCTGGTAAGAGGATTGATAACTTTTGTCAGGTTTCAAATGAATTTTTAACCCCCAAGAGTTAAGAAATAACCACATTAATGAAAGAATTTCAGATATCCACCATAACCTGGAAAACACACACACACACACACACACACACACACACACACACACACACACACACACACATATGGAAAGAACTTTTTTGGAACCCCTCAAATCATACACATGCATGTTCTCTTGATTGTAAAGACTAAGTATGGCCACAGCCTCTCCCAGTGAACTGACTTTTCTGAACACACCGTACTCCTAGCATTAAAACCATCTTCAGCCTTTCCCGATCACTGCCACTGCAATGTGATGGTAGAATCTGCATTGAGTCTTAGATTAGGTACAGTGTTCTGTGGTTCCTTTCCATGGGTTATTACAAAATCAGAGACAATTGCTTTCTCGCATGGGCCTTCCCTGTACTCAAGATGGGAAGGTTGTGGGTTCAGGGATACTGGTGGGTTAATGTGTCTGTATGCCCATGTACGCACACTCTTTTCCTCTATCAGAGACCTTTCAGTGCAAAGCCATTGATACAGGAAAGCAAAACAGTCACCCCAGAGCTTTAGGCAACTCTCTCCAGCCAAAAACATTTTCCCAACCCCTACCCAAAAAGGCCAGACAGCCTGGAGACCCTTGTTTTGTGCCTCTAATCACCAGCTCAGACAGTGCCCTCTGGGCTGTTTGGATGGCGTATCCCTATCCCTCCCAGGATCACTCTCCCTTTTGTTGCATTGTGAGAAAATTATGGCTAGGAATTTGATCTGGAGCCAGTGTCAGCTTCCGGGGGTGATCTCAGCATCCAAGTGTGAGCTTAGGATGCTGAGACGATGGGCGCATTTCACAGTGGAAATTGCTACCTATGACCTTCTTCCAGTCGGTTCGCGGTTGGGTCTTCCAGGCCACAGAACAGGAGCCGCACAAACAAGGCCCTAAGGTTTGGGTTTATTCAGCTCCACTCAGAACTAAATCAAAGGCTATGGTACATCAAAGGACCAAATCATACACTGTGGACCATACACCTATCCCTTCCCCCGAGGACGCTGCTACCTCTGGGGTGGTGGACTTCTGGAATCGCCGTGGGATGTAGACAGGGGATTCACTGGGTGCTGGGTCTACCGCGGACAGTCAGGGCTCAGCTCTGGCTACCTCTTCCTCTTCCTCTGGGTCAGGAGGCGCAGGGAGCAGGGAGATGTAGACCTCATTGACTTCCGTGTCCAAATGCCGGCCACCCCGAGGCGCCTCCAAGTTAAGGATGCCATCATGCGAGAGGGCAGCTCGGACCCGCCAGGGGTCCACATCTGCTGGCAGGACATAGGTGCGACAGAACTCTCGGGACACGAAGCCGTGGCGGTCCAGACGCTGGGGGTGCCGGGCCGACACCTCCAGCAGGTTGTCCACAGTCCTCACGGTCACCTCGTCTGGGGTAAAGTGGCTCACATCCAGAAACGCCTGGAACTTGCCCTCGCTGAGCCTGAGCTCTGAGGCCCCTGCCCTACTGCCCTCCCCAGCTCTGGCGGCCCGAGGCCGGACATAGTAGCCATGGTAGAGGGTGGGGGTCAGGATCTCTTCTGGCAGGAGGCCTGAGGGGGGCAGAGAGAGAAAGAGAAGGCAAGAGGCAGGATGAAGGAGGAAGCAGTGTGCACAGGGCTGAAAGGCGAGATCAGGAGCAGGTGGGGAAGCTGCTGAAGAGGGCCTGGGGAAGGAAATTAGACGGCCATGAAGCAAGCAGGGATTTGGAGGACAGAAGCGAAACCAGAAGGTATTCAGCGTGCAAGGCCCGGGTACCCAAAGCTCTGCGGATCTAAAGTCCTGTCCTGAAGTCTGTAGCAAGAGGAGAGCCTTGCTTGAGGGGGGAGTCTGGGGTGGGAGATGCCTCGCTCCAGGAGTTCACTTAAGCCCCAGGTAGGGTGGAGGCCAGTGAGACTGGGCGGTGAGCCCAGAATTTCAGGAGGTGGGGGTGGGAAGCATCTGGGCCTTACCTTCTCCGAAGCGCTGCTCGCCCAGGCGGCTGGGGTTGGCAAATTCGTACTCGGCAGTGGCTGGGTGGGCATGTGGCACTGTGCGGCCCGACATGACTGCGGTTGCGACTGGCAGCCCTGATCCCAAGTGCAGCCCCAACAAGATCGACGCGACCCCTTCAGCGGGAGGGAGAGCCAGGACTCGGTCAGAGTGGGGGCGGGGTCTACACCACCCAAAATAGTGCAAGGCCTCTGGGGGAGGGCCGGGAGCCTGGTCCCAGAGTGCAGCGATGAGGGTGTGACCAGCACAGCCTGGACCCCCTAAGTCCCCTCCTCTGCACACCCTTCAGCTGTCGCAGAAGCCTGGGAGGACAGCTGAGGGTCTTGGTCCCGGAAGTGACCTGGGAAAAGAAGTTGGTGCACTCACTGCAGGAATGCAAAGGGAGGCCTAGTTTGGCCCTTCACAAATTGTACACTTCCATATCACCCTTTGTCTTTCTCAATCGTGGGCACCATGCACACTACTGAAAAAAAAAAGATTTAATGTTCCATGAGCCACATAGCATCAAAGGTGCAAGAAGCATGCTCTGTCTCTTTAATTTCAGGGTATTCTGAACTCAGGTCAACTCAGGGTTCCAGCCAGACACCTGGTACCGACCGACATATTGGTGGTCACTGCTCCCCGCTAGGGCACCACAAAGGGTTAATGTCCCTGGGGCCCAGCCTAGGAAGATTCCAGTCCCTGCCCAGGCTCAAGATAGCTGCTGGCTCAACTCCCCTGGCATGCAAGACTGGAGAGGAGGAGGGGCACACCACCAGCTGCCTGGGATTCCTGCCTCTGTCCGAGCTCCAGAGAACAAGGATGGGGGTGGGTGTCACTGGGCGTGGACAGGGAGCTAGTGAGACAAGACCATGACAAGTCACTGGCCAGCTCAGCCGTGTTTGTGTTTCTCTTTTCTTAGCTCAGTGAGTACTGGGTATGTGTCACCCTGCCAAATCCCTGATCACAAGTCTCCATGAACTGGCGGTGAGCTGGGATAATAAAACCCCTGACATCACCATTCCAGAAGCTTCACAAGACTGCATATATAAGGGGCTGGCTGTAGCTGCCGCTGAAGGAGCTGAGCAGCCAACGGACCCTACATTCATCTAGCCACCATGGACATCGCCATCCACCACCCCTGGATTCGTCGGCCCTTCTTCCCTTTCCACTCCCCCAGCCGCCTCTTTGACCAGTTCTTCGGGGAGCACCTGTTGGAGTCTGACCTCTTCTCAACTGCCACTTCGCTGAGTCCCTTCTACCTTCGGCCACCCTCCTTCCTTCGCGCCCCCAGCTGGATTGACACTGGACTCTCAGAGGTGAGTCTCCCCTGTGCCAGGGCAGGAGTCCTTCCTGAGCCTCCTGGACACTTCATTTGTTTTCCCTTTTGTCCCTGCCTAAGTCATTTCAGGCACGTGTGTGTGCCAAGGTACGGGAGAAATGAGGTTACTGTTTGCTTCTCCCCTTGGAAGAAACATGCTGTTTGGTGTTCCTCCATTCCCTGTTACGTTTTTCTGTGCATGGTGAAAATCATCTTCTGTCCCCTAATGATAAAGCAGGATGTCCCTTTCTGGTTTTATTCATAATGATCTGCATTAAAAGCTGTTTCAACTCCTTTACTTACCTCCCTAACAACCATGGTCCTGGCGGATTTTATCATCTCCAATTGCAGAGATCAGAGAGAAACCCATTCATTCTGAACTTTTTATGCCCCCTGGATGGAGCTGGAGACATCAATCACTATATTCTGTCTCTCTCTTCCCTTGCCTCTGATTTTCTGGGTTCCTCAGGGCTGAGACAGTGCCCTGACCTCAGTCTGTGCCTTATGAGGAATGGATGTATGTCCACTCCTGGGAAGCCCCGGCTTGTCCTGACAGAGTGGGAGAGGGGTTGAACAGATAAGATTAAGAGAGGCTGCCACAGATAACACGCTGGTTTAAAAATATTCCAGTGTTAGGACACAGGAGCTGAGTGGGCAAGGGCTTTGGAAGGACAGGACCAGCAGAACATTCCAGATGGAGTGGGTAGGAAACTTGGCAGGGAGCTGAACAAGAAAAAGGGGCCTTTGTCTTACAGACAAATGACAAAGCCAGCATTGGGTAGAGAGGCAGCAGAAGCTATGACTAGACCCATCCTTGTGGTCCCCTAGTGACCTTTTTCTCTGTGCCTTTAAGTAAACTTCAGGACTGATGACCAAGAGGTGTTCCTTGTGTATCACTATGGTGGCTCACATGCACCACAGTCATTCAAAAAAGGACTTTTTTTTTTTTTAGCAGTGAAAAGGATGAATTACCTGGACAGGAAGTAAATCTATCAAACAATGAGTCTTCTCCAATTTCATAAACATTCTCCCATCTTTTCTCCTCCCTTCCCCACCTTCCTCTAGATGCGTATGGAGAAGGACAGATTCTCTGTCAACCTGGACGTGAAGCACTTCTCCCCAGAGGAACTGAAAGTCAAGGTGCTGGGAGATGTGATTGAAGTGCATGGGAAGCACGAGGAACGCCAGGTGTGTGGGCGCTTCTCTATCTATGTGAATCCATTTAGTGCGCATTGGATCCTGCCACCAGTCTCCGAGGCTGGCAGAATTCCAGGCCCCCCGAAACGTAAGGGACTAGAGCAGGAGCTGCCATCAATGGCTAGGGAGCTAAACTAGGGATAGATCTGTAGTTACTGTTATGGTTTTGCTGAGAGAAGTGCCCCTTGCTGTTTATTTTGATTGCTTTGTCGTTGTCTGGTGACAACAAAGTAACAAAAGACGTTTCAAAATTCCCAACCCGCGGGCGCACCCTAGGCGCCAAGTAAATATGAAGTTTCAGGGATATAACTCAGGCATCAACATTTATTTAAAAAGATCTCCTTGGGTAATTTCAGTCTGTAATCAAAACGGGCAACCATTGATTTAGGCGCAGTGTGTTGTACATAATGGTTGTTGTACATAATGACATTAACTGCAGGGTTGGAGGCATTTCTGTCTGTGACTTTTAGATGTTCAGGATTCCACGTCTCTTCTTCTGCTCATTTTAATACTAAGCTACTTGGTTTGTTCATATTCCAGAGCTTCAGGCTTATGGCTGCAAGGAAGTCAGCAAATTGAGATTTGTTTGGGTGGATGCTTGGGATTCAGAAGGTGTAAGGGTTAGGGCCAACAATTCCTCTTGCACTTTTGGCGATTTTTTTTTCTTGACTTCATGAAAAGGTGTTACGATTGCTTCTTAAAAATTAATAACTCAGCCGGGCGGTGGTGGCGCACGCCTTTAATCCCAGCACTCGGGAGGCAGAGCCAGGCGGATCTCTGTGAGTTCGAGGCCAGCCTGGGCTACCAAGTGAGTTCCAGGAAAAGGCGCAAAGCTACACAGAGAAACCCTGTCTCGAAAAACCAAAAAAAAAAAAATTAATAACTCAGCCAGGCATGGTGGTGCACACCTTTAATCCCAGGACTCAGGAAGCAGAGTTAGGCAGATCTCTGAGTTCGAGTTGTCCTGGTCTACAGAGTGAGTTCCAGGACAACTACACAGAGAAACCCTACCTATCTCAAAAAACAAAACAAATTAAGGACTCAGAACCTGTGCATAATAAGTGTATCTTAATGTCCTCAGGCTGTTTCAGTTTTGTTTTAAGCCTGGACCAGTCTCCCCGATAGTCAACTTTATTTAATATCAGCAATCCTGTGGGTTAGGAACATCCTGACACATTCCTGAGGGATTCGGACAACTTATAGGCTTCCTCAAGGACAGAGATCCTCAGTGCCAAAGTCCACCCAACACAGAATCATTCCTTTGTAGGTAGGAATCAAATCTGGGCAGTTTTATTCTAGCCTTAAACGTGGATGAACAGCTCTGGACTTAGCTATCTGTGTATTTGTTGCAATGAAGTTCAGGGGCTTTCACCACAAGACTATACTCCCAGCTCCAGATACTTCTTTTTTCCTTATGATGGCAGGGCTGTTTGGGAACCTCAGGAAAAGGGATGTCTGAGTTTGGGGCAAGCAGTGGTATTTCCTGTTCTTATTTCTCTGCTTCTTTTTTCCTTCTCTTGGATTAGGACGAACACGGATTCATCTCTAGGGAGTTCCACAGGAAGTACCGGATCCCTGCTGATGTGGATCCTCTCACCATTACTTCCTCCCTGTCATCTGATGGGGTCCTCACTGTGAATGGACCAAGGAAACAGGCCTCTGGCCCTGAGCGTACCATTCCCATCACCCGTGAAGACAAGCCTGCTGTCACTGCGGCCCCTAAGAAGTAGACGCCCTTTCTCTCATTGCGTTTTTTAAAACTCGAAAGTTTCCCATCAGTGAATGAAAATCTGTGACTAGTGCTGAAGCTTATTAATGCTAAGGGCCGGCCCAGATTATTAAGCTAATAAAATATCATTCAGCAACAGATTTGTCTTGTGTTTATACATTCATTGTGCTTTAAATAAATCTACAAACGTAACGGATCTAACTCTCCATCTATGATTCAGGGGACTCCAAGGACTTTTGGGTCAGAATGACTGGCAGCACTTCCTAGTGGTACAAACCCAGGCGAGTCATTCACCTTCCCTGGTCTTCTGGTCTTCTCTCTGCAACACTCTGTACTGTTAGGGATAGATTAAGGAGGAAAAACAAAACAAAACAAAACAGGTGATGCCCGGCCAAGTCCAAGGAATATCAGTTCCTCTAGAGAGAAGAGCTCTGGCTAACCCCACATCAAAGGCTCTAGTGCATCTCTGAAATTAATTACCTCACCAGGGAGACATGGTGACCTTAGTGTGACCTGACAAGGGCTATCAGCTAACTCACAGGACAGTAAATAGGACATGGGTGCTAATCATCAAACAAGCCTCTTAGGTGTAGTGTAAAGGATTCAACAGCCCCCCCCATTTTCGATTTTTTTTTTTTTTTTTTTTTTTTTTGGCTTTTTCAAGACAGGATTTCTCCGTGTAGCCCTGGCTGTCCTGGAACTTGATTTGTAGACCAGGCTGGCCTTGAACTCAGAAATCTGCCTGCCTCTGCCTACCAAGGGCTGAGATTAAAGGCCTGTGTCACCATGCCTAGCCAAGTTTCAAGTCTCTATAGATTCATACTGATTTCCTTATTAAAACAAAACAGACAGACAAAAAACACAACTCCCTAATAATCTGACATACCATGGTCTACTCAGAAAGCCCTTTTCTTTAAAGTCATAATCAATTTCTGTGTCTGTGCAGCAATCAATATCGGTTGCATAAGGAAATGCTATTATTCCTTTTTTGGTCTAGCCAATGACAAGATTTGTCCCAGAATTTATTATACACCCTTTCAAGCCATGTGTGCACAGCTACAGGTGGTTCAAATAAAGCAAATTCCTTTTGTCTGCAGTGATTGACTTGAAAGGGCTGTGACCCAATTATGGTAAGAGATACAGTAAGGGGGGCTACTTGAAATGCTTCTAGGAACTATTTTTTTTTTTTTTTTTTGGTTTTTCGAGACAGGGTTTCTCTGCGTAGCTTTGCGCCTTTCCTGGAACTCACTTGGTAGCCCAGGCTGGCCTCGAACTCACAGAGATCCGCCTGGCTCTGCCTCCCGAGTGCTGGGATTAAAGGCGTGCGCCACCACCGCCCGGCCAGGAACTATTTTTAAACTATGAAAGAGTGCCGAGGGGCTAGCTCAGGGGTAGAGTTCTTGTTTAGTATGTGTGATTGTGTGATGTCCTAGTTCCCACCCTTGACATTGCAAAAATAAAAACAGAACACTAAGAAAAAGTTGAGATGAGAGAAAGGTAGAAAAAGGAGAGGTGTGCGTGTGCGTGCGTGTGTGTGTGTGTGTGTGTGTGTGTGTGTGTGTGTGTGTGTGTGTATGAGGGAGGGGGGAAGAGAGATGGGGAGGAGACACTGGGATGAATGCCTACTTTGAATGTAGACGAAATTTTGGAGATGGATACTGACTGAAATTCTTTGTCTCTGTATGTGTGCCGTGTGTGTGTGTGTGTGTGTGTGTGTGTGTGTGTGTGTGTGTGTGTGTAGGTCAGAGGTTGATGGTGTTGTTCTCCACCTTATTTTTGTTTGTGTGTCCGTGTGTTCATGTGAACATTTGTGTACATAAGTGAGGGTGTGCATATGCCACGGTGCATGTGTGTCAGTCAGAGATCAACCTCAGGTCCTTGCTTTCCACCTTGTTTGAGATGAGTTCCTTGTTTTGTCCACCATGCACTCCAGGCTAGCTAGCCTTCTAGCTTCCTGGGATTCTTCTGTCTTTGCCCCTGCCTTTACTATGGGACCTCCAGGATCATAGACACATGTGCTGTGTTTGGCTTTACTTGGGTTCTGAGCATTTGAACTAGGTCCTTACTCCTGCACAGCAAATGCTTTCTCCACAGGTCACTGAATTGTCTCTCCAGCCAAGGTCTCTCACTGAACCTTTAGCTCACAGATTAGGCAGGATTGGCTGTCCAACAAGCTCCAGGGATGCTCTTTTCTCCTCCTCTCCAGGGTTGAGATGTACATCACTGTCTTTTTTTTTAAACTGTACATGTTGAGGACTTGACTTAGTGAAGCAAACAATTTACTGAATAAGTCACTGACTAAAATTTTAAGACAGAATTGCTAAGATTCCATTTACATATGATTTAGTCATTTAACTGTACAGTGTACTCTCAATAATACATTCATAGATTTGAACATCTATCCTACAGTCAGTTTTAGACTTTACTGTAGAAGATCCCATATCCCTCGGCTCTAGGCAACCATATGTCTATTTACTTACTGATTTGCCTGATATGGACACTTGCTAATAATGTAATCTTTAACATGTGGCCCTTTGTGACTAGCTTATATATCTTTTTGAGATTTTAAATATGTGTATATACATATATAAATACATGTACATTTTCTATACATACATAAATGGTTTTTGAGACAGGGTTTCCCTGTGTAGTCCTGACTGTCCTGAATCTCACTCTTAGACTAGGCTGGCCGCAACTCAGAAATAAACCTGCCAGTGCCTCTTGAGTGCTGGGATTAAAGGCATGTGTCACCACACACAGTTGATATTTTAAATATATTTTTATTTTATGTGTCTGAGTGTTTACCTGAATATATGTCTTCTATACACCACATGTATGCAGTGCCCATGGAGGCCAGAAAAGGGTACTGGATCCCCTGGGACTGGCGATATATAGACAGTTGTGAACTGCAAAGTGGATGCTGGGAATTGAACCTGGGTTGTCTAGAAGAGCAGCCAGTGCTCTTAATGGCTGAGACACATCTCCAGGCCCCACCCCTTTTAAACCTGGTATAACATTTTCAAGGTTCAGTCATGCTGTTGTCTACATCAAATAATATTTTACTGAATAGATACGCCAGATTTTATCCTTCATCAGCTGCTGGACTTTGTTTATTTGTCCAACATCAGTTGCTGTTTCTACTGTTTAATTATTATGGAGACTGCTGCTATTAACATATTTTACATTAATTTTGTAATTGTTTTCAATTCCTTGTGGCATAAATGTAATTGGACTTTTTGGTCATAGGATTATTCCACATTAATTTTTAAAACATGGTGCTTTTTCTTTGTATTATATCTAATGAGGTATCTGATGGCTTGTATTTGTATCTGTTTTGGTTTTTTTTTTTTTTTAGATTTATTTATTATGTATACAGTGTTCTGTCTGGTTGCCAGAAGAGAGCACCAGATCTCATTACAGATGGTTGTGAGCCACCATGTGGTTGCTGGGAATTGAACTCAGGACCTCTGGAAGAGCAGCCAGGGCTCTTAACCTGAGCCATCTCTCCAGCCCCTGTTTTGGTTTTAGTGCTGGAGATAGAACTACAGGTATGCTAAGCACTCACTTTAACACTGAGTTATCCTTGCCTCTTCCTTATTCTCAATGGTTTATTAAAGTTAGCAAGACATACATGGTGGGAGTGTGAATTTAGAAAGAGAACAGCATGAAGTGCCCCGGTATTTTGGTCTGATTGGAGAACTGGGTATATGAGAGGGAATATGGGGAATGAAGCAGCATTTATTTGGAAGGCAACAGAAGCCAATGAACGGATTAAATCAAGTGAGTGGAATGAACAATCTAGTATTTTAAAATTTACTATATGGAAATATGGTGATGGAAGAGTAGAAAGTAAACGGGAAATAAGGGCATCAGAAAGGTATTTCTGCAAACTAGAATTAGGAATGTGACAATGTCAGGTACAGCTGGGGGGTGGTGGCGGCGGCGGCGGCGGTGGTGGTGGCGGCGGCGCGCACCTTTAATCCCAGCACTCGGGAGGCAGAGGCAGGTGGATCTCTGTGAGTTTGAGGCCAGCCTGGTCTACAGAGTGAGTTCCAGGACAGCCAGGGATAGACAGAGAAACCCTGTCTCAAAAGACAAAAAACTAACAAACAAACAAAAGGTCAGGTACAGTGAAATGTAGTGTAAATGTTATGCCTGCCCAAGAGAATTTAGATACATTCCTAGTGATTGACATTCTGAGCAAGAGGAGGGGGCCATGATCACATCTGATATTGGACTCTACTCTCAAGATTCTGACCAATGCCCATTTAGAACAGATGTAAAAGATACAAAGTAGAGACAGAACTATAATTTACAAAGATATAATCTGTCAAAATAAACAAAGGAATAAACTCCAGGAAAATAGAGTTCAAACAAAGTCTGCAAGATAAAAATCTATGTATAAAGTTCTGTTCTAGTTCTCCATTCCTACGTTTTAAATTAGCCCACTAGTGGCCTAAAATAACAATTGTTCTATTAGACCTTGTTGTGTAGTGTAGGCACTGGCTAGGGCCACTTGGTGACACCCTAATGATTTACACACTGTTACCGAGTACCAAAGAGACTGGGTACCTTATTCCTGACACCTTGCCAGGTATTGAAAATACAGATGAAACAGAGAAATCCCAAGATACACATAATTTACCCAAAGAAGTTCTGAAGAAACAGATTATCTAAATAAGCACATTTCTGGAGTAAGGGGATTGAACCAGAAACCACAATATTACACTAAAGAAAAGCCTCCCCACATTTACCAACTTGAACTACCCACAATTCTCCCCACATTTACCAACTTGAACTACCCACAATTCTCTTCCAGTCTTCCCACTCACTGCTTTGCAAGCCCTCCCTCAAACCAGCGGCTTACTCCAGCATCTTTCTGAGCCACTGAGACCCCATGTCAAGTTGCTATTCCTTGTTGCTAGGCTCAGCACACTTAGCTTTATTTGATCCTTTGGTGCTCTTTGTGGAGGAGTTAACAATTGGTTGTCTCTCTATTATTATTATTATTATTATTTATACAGAAATTATTGAGATGAAACTGTATTCTTGAGATGTTCCAAAATTAAGTCAATATATTTAAAATTCTCTGTAATAATAGGGTCAGCTGTTCCTTTTCATAGTCCTCAGCTGGGCTTACTCAGTAAGGACACAGTAAAAACCCGCTATAACTGACTGACTTTGGGAATGCACCCAGCAACATCTAAGCCATGGCAGGGTTTTCAGACTTGCCACTGATGGAAAGCAGAGAGGAGCATTTACAGATGTGAAAGACATACATATGTAGACGAATTTCTAAATGGTCTTATTAAATAAAAAAACACGGAGCCAAATATAGGGGTGTAAGCTTTAGAGAGATCAGAGAAATAGGGAGAGCTGCCAGCCAACCTTACCTCACCAACTCTGCAGCTTCCAAATGCGAGCTACTTCCTATCCTACCCACACCTTTATTGCCTTGCTGTTCTGCCTTCTCATTGGCTATCTTAGCCCAGCTACCTCACTTCCTTGTCACTGCCTGTTTGTACAGACCTCCAGGTCTCTGTGGTTGGTACTGGGATTAAAGCGTGTGTCACCACATTTGGCTCTGTTCCCTAGCATGGCCTTGAACACACAGAGACCCTGCCTGATAAGTGATTGGATTAGGGGCATGTGCTGCATGACTCTGCTTACTTAAAATGGCTGGCCTTTTCCCCTATACCCCTACTGTTCTTTTTCAAATTCCTCCCCCATTAATTGTTATCACATAGATATTTGTGTATATAGTCTTAGGTGGGGTTTCTATTGCTGTGATAAAACACCATGAACAAAAGCAATTTGGAAAGGAAAGAATTTGTTTCAGTTTATACCTTTTAAATCCATCATCCAGGAAAGTCAGGGTAGGAAACTCAAGACAGAACACTGGAGGCAGGAAATGATGCAGAGGCCATGGAGGTGTACTGCTTACTGGCTTGCTCTCCTTGGCTTGCTCAGCCTGCTTTCTAGCATTCAAGACCACCAGGCCAGCAGTGGCACTGCCCCCTGTGGGATAGGCCCTCCTATATCAATCATTAATCAAGAAAATGCACTTACTACAGGCTTGCCTACAGGTCAACTGGATGGAGGTAATTTCACAATTAAAATTCCCTCTTCCCAGACATGTCTGTCTAGGTTTATGTTAAGTTGATAAAAACTCACCAGGACAGTTAGCGTAAATAGAAATAGAGATTTTGTTTGTTTGTTTGTCTTTTGGTGTCCTGTGCTTTATTTAGACAGAAATCATGTTTTGTGTTCCTTTCTACAGTCTACTTCAGAAAAAAGTGATGCTACTTTTTCTTGCTTAGATTCCTGGATCCTAAAATTGGGCCATGTTTGGATCATATACACACCAAGAGTAATGAGTAGGTAGAGGCTTTGAGTAGCTATTCATAAAAGTTGACTTTTCTGTGCATTTGTATTGAGGAGGATCCAGTTCAGGCTGATGTCCAGGGAACCAATGAGGCTCTCGCTTAAATCCTAAGGGAAGGAAAGATAAACGGGAACACAGTCAACAAGGAGTTTGTTTTTTTTTTTTTAACAGAGCTCATACTTATTTCTTAGTCTTGTCAAAACTGAGCCACTAGAGAAATTGTTCACTTATTTACACATTCATTTTCCTTTTGAGTTCCTTTCATCTGCCAGGAACTAAGATGTGTGCTAAGAGTTAAGAATTAGTAAGACAAGTCCACCTACTATGGGCTGATTGTGGCTTTTTGCTGTTGTAGCTTGCATCATATGTTGCTTCAAAGTAGTGTCCAAACTAGAAGGAAAAAGTGATAGCTTAAGAATACAGCCAGGGGGTGGTGGCACACACCTTTAATCCCAGTACTGGGAGGCCAGAGGCAAGCGGACCTCTATGAGTTCGAGGCCAACCTGGTCTACAGAGTGAATTCCCAGACAGCCAGGGCTACACACAGAGAAACCTTGTTTCAAAAAACAAAAAACAAAAAAAAAAAACAAAAGAATCTCATAGTTGGGGACTGGAGAGATGACTCCATGCTCAAGAGCACTGGTTGTTTTTCCAGAGGACCTGGGTTCAATTCCCAGCATCTACACGGCAGCTCACAACTATCTGTAATTCCAGTTCCAGGGGATCTGGCACTCTCATACAGACATACATGTGGGCAAAACACCAATGCACATAAAAACTAAGTAAGTCTTAAAACACACACACACACAAAGAATCCAGTCATCTATAGCTAACATCAAAAAGTAAGGGCCAGTGCAGCACGACTTTAATTGTTCCATCATTTGAGGTAGTCTAGAGGTTCATCTGTGATTAGACTGTCATACTTTCTAATCCATTGGCTGTTTGTTTAGGAGATGAAAGGGCAAGGCTCAGGTAAACAGGTAAACAACAAGCTCAGAGGAGAAGGTATTCTGAGTCAGAAGACAGCCCGCTTTCTGTAGATTAACAGGTGAAATCCAAACAAAACAAGAGAAAAAGCAATCTACTCATCATTTGATAACTTATGGGGAACACTGAATTTGACACTGAAGTGGGCTAGGTGATCCAGCTGAAGAATGAGCTCTCATAATACTAAATATAAACCTCTCACATGGCTCCTGGCATTTCTTCTAACAGAAAGTAACAAAAGAAGAGAAAGTTATCTTACCTGGGAAGGCAAGGGTTTAGGTTTTACAATATTCTTTAGGTCATATCTTTCCTGGTTCCAGTTGCCTATCAGAGTACGGTTTGAATAGGAATTCTCATTAGTGTTGCATCTCCATCCGTACTGAAAAAACTTGGACATGTTAGTCCAGTCTGTCCACACTTCACCATGACCATCAGCATAAATAAGGCTGCCATAGTGTGGGTTTCTGAGGAAACAGATAAGATTCTGTCTCTGGAAAAACAAAGAACATGAAAGCTTACTAAATAATGAGAGAGCAGAAAACACACTTGTTTCTACTTCTGCTTTACAGGGCCAAGTGTTAACATAAGCACACCTTAATAACACGCTAGGCTTTTGTCCAAATATAATTTATAAGGGCCTGATTCTTCCTCTTAAGGTGCATATACCCCTTGATCTATGTTGCAGAATATTATTTTAAGGTGTGTTACTTTTGTTTATGTTGCATTTATTTAACTCTGTGAATCTGTGTTACTTTGCCTGTCTAAAACAACTGATGGTTTCATAAAAAAATGAATGGCCAATAGTGAGGCAGGAGAAAGATCTAGGTGGGGCTTACAGGCAAAGAGGAGAAATAGGAGAACTCAGGGAGAGAGGAGAAAGAACTAGCCAGGGAAGGAGGAGGACATCAGGGGCCAGCCACCCAGCTACACAGCAAGCCATGGAGTAAGAGATTTACAGAAGAGAATGGGAATAGGCAAAAGGTAGACGGGATAATTTAAGAAAAGCTGGCAAGAAACAAGCCAAGCTAAGGCCAGACATTCATAATTAAGAATGAGCCTGTGTGTATGATTTATTTGGGAGCTGGGTGGCAGGCCCCCAAAAGAGTTACACCAACAACAGATCTATCATGTCAATCATCAGTAGTGGATGACTGACTATACAAATGCCACTGTCTCACATTGCTCGAAAAGACAGAAAACCTTTCAGCATCCCCAACACCGTATGAGCAATGAGCTAAATGTTGTAGTGATTTCAAGATGTAAGAGTTGAGGGTCTAAGGGTATTGCCACAGGGAGAATGAGAGGTGAAACGTTGAACAGTCAGACAACACAATGAATGATTAACAATAACTTCCTTTCCAGATCAGCTCAAATAAGCTAACACTCCTTCTACCTCACATAGAAGTTTTCTTCACATTGTTTACTTTATATTGGTCATAGGTTCAAGAACATGCAATATATTATCAACTGAAACCCACACTGTTAAGAACAGAATTTGTATTTTGTTCATGGTTGTATATATCCTTCCAACCAATAGTTACCATCCCAATCAATAGTTCTTTGCACATACCAGATGGGAAATGTCTATATTTTAAATTTTTGGCAAGCAATCAAAAGCCAAGCTTTTTTGTTACATAATAAGCCTGGTCCCTGGGCAAAGGAGTAAGATGATACCTGTGTTATCGATGAGAAACTTGATGGTGAATACAATGATTTGTTTGAATATCTCAGAGAGAAACAATAATCCTTATGTGGCCATTCCATATTCGTTAAAGATGTCTTCAAACCTGATCTTTCCAGTTCTCCAAACAAAGGAATACAGATCACCACAGACACATGGCCAATGGTCTGAGAAACACACCCCAACTGCCTTTTCACAGGCAGACAAAACCAATACTATAGCAATGAAGGATGAGATTGTAAGCAACTGCCCTCACATCATCTACCTTTGTGAAGATATGTGCATGCCTGTGCTGATGTCACCAAACAGCATGATGACTTGGGTAGCTGGACCCAGAAAGCCTAGTAGGCCTAGAGTTTAGAGGTGATGCTGTCCCTAGAGCTAGAATGACACACATTCACTTAGTTGTCTGAGACAGAAAACCAAGGCTGATTTTTGACTTTTCTTTTGGTATTCAGTCAGTCACTAAGTCTTGCTGATTTCTGAATCAGTCCACTACTTTTCATCTTCACTGCCAATTTCCAATTCAGACCACTGTCTCCTTTTGTCCCCTTTACTGTAAGGAGCTTCTTATCTGATTTCCTTGTCATCAATCTTATTCTTGTCTAATCCTTTCTCCATAGTAAAGTTGTTTTTGAAAACCAAAAAAATCACAGTGTCTTCCTATTTTAAATCTCTTAGTGGCTTTTGTTGTTGTTAGAACATCTGAATTTTTTTTTTTTGTTTTTTTGAGACAGGGTTTCTCTGTGTAGTTTTGGAGCCTGTCCTGGAACTCACTCTGTAGACCAGGCTGGCCTCGAACTCAGAGATCCGCCTGGCTCTGCCTCCCGAGTGCTGGGATTAAAGGCGTACGCCACCACTGCCCGGCCTGAATTTTTTTTTTTAAAGATTTTTATTTATTATTTATACAATGTTCTGCCTGCATGTATGCCTGCAAGCCAGAAGAGGGCACCAGATCTCATTACAGATGGTTGTGAGCCACCATGTGGTTGCTGGGAATTGAACTCAGGACCTCTGGCAGAGCAGCCAGTGCTCTTAACCTCTGAGCCATCTCTCCAGCCCGAACATCTGAATTTTTTAATCTGACTTTACTGGTTACCTAGACCATTTTTGATTAAGGAAACTGTAGAAAGCAAATGTCACAATCAAGCAACAGTTGGTGGCACTCATCAATTTCCCAGAGAGGCCTGCTTTTGGGGTATCTGAAGGCACTGATTGGGGTCTCTGATCAAACTTGCTGGGACTACTCATGGTAGCTTTTAGTCTACAGGTCACTTTCCCCCATGTTTCTTTGCAAATTCTCCAGCATTCTTCCAGAATTTGTTATGGTCCTTAGAGTGCTCTTTAGCTAGGTCAGCCTAGGGTGGGTCCTCGGGCTGGGGATCATTCATCAGTACTATGAGCAAATGAATTACTTCGTGGCTGTTTTCCGGTCTTCAGCTAATCACTGGCAGACAGACATGCGACATGCCCCCTCCCATCCATGTCAGGGTGACAGATCTTCGTTTTAAATGTGACCTTGGGTGGAAAGTTGATTTTTCTGAAGGCCACTTTATCAGGTGTATTCACTAGAACAACAAGCCCTTGCCAAATCAATAAATTTTAATTAGCTTCATCAACCTGGATGAAAGCTAGCAAAGCTTTTCATTTCATATTTTGAGACCTCTCCAAGCTTCTTCATCAGCCTCCTGCTGGCTGACATACTGGATTTTTAGTGGCTTTCTATATTCTCAGAATAAGGTTTAGGCTGTTATGGTTACAACACTCCACATAACCTGGCCACCTTTGAACTCTTCAGTGTCACTTGCCACTCTCTTACCGTGTTCAGCCAGTAATCACTGTTTTTTTTCATTATGCTTTTGTAAACAGTGTTCTTTCTGATTCCAATCCTTTTTATGTGGATAAAATGAACACCTGCCCCCACCTCCCATCAGCTTTCAACACAGGCTAACTTCAGGGAATCTATACCTCCCTTTCTCAACTTGGTAGTGTTTCCCCTTGTGTGCGCTTCATTGTGATCTGAATTCCTCCACTCGCGGTGGGTACACACACCCCATTATAACAGCGTTGCCTCTTTTGCTGTGTGCATTCGTTATCAGACAGTAGGCAGGCCACATCTAGTCCATCCACACACCTAACTGCTCTCACAGTGCCCTGGAACAAAACAGGCATTCAATGTTTTTGTGTTTGTTTGTTTCCCCTTGAAAATAGGATCTACAAGCACCTGGAGATACGTTGAGCAGTAGCTAAGAGAACAAGAGGTAGCCATTCAGGAGATGGTGGGTGCAGTTACAAAACCCTGTGCCTCTGGAACACGCAGGACTCGCCTCCCCGCCCCTCATTTAGTGACTGTTTTGTGACCTCAAGCAGGTGTGGCGAAGACGCTCAGGTCCGTCCTTGTGCTGAAGAGCAAACGAGCCTTCCGAGGCACACGAAGGTGAGGGGGCAAAGCCGAAAGCTCCATCCCACTTTCAACCTTGTAGCTCCCCGGCAGTGGCTCTAAGTGTTTATCCAGGCAACCACACGCTGTTGATGCGTCATCAATGAGTGCCGGACGGAGAAGGGGGGGAAAACCGAGGCCTATGCGAAGGAAGTGACGCCATAAAGGTGCGCCCCGGCGAGCGCCGGCAGGGAGCCAGAGGAGACCATGGTTCCTCGGCGCCTCCTGTTGGTCGGGGAAGGGAATTTCTCCTTCACAGCTTCTCTGATCAACACCCTGGATCCCGGCGTCCGTATTACCGCTACCTGCCTTCAGCACCGGGCCGAGCTGGAGGAGGATCGGGTGACCCAGGAGAACCTACAGCGCCTGCGCGAGCGAGGTAGCGGGTCCCACCCCTCCGCCAGGCCCGGCCCAGAGCGCCGGGGGTGTGGCTCGCTTGGGGGATGCGAGTGCGCCTCCTGGAGGCGCTCACGTGGAAGTGCTGTGTGCCCAGGCCTGGGCTGGTTTGCGCTTCTGTGTTTTCGTCTGGGTTACAGATCTTAAGACTTCTTTTGATCTATATTTTCCACGCCTTTAAACTTTCTTTGCCAGGTATCGAAGTCTGTTTTGGTGTGGATTGCACCCAGCTGGCGCACGCCTTGCAAGCACACGACAGAGACTTTGATCGAATTTATTTCAACTTTCCGCACTGTGGTCGAAAAGCTGGAGTAGCTAAGAACAGGGAACTGCTTGCCAGGTTTTTCCAGAGGTGAGGAAAGACGAGTCCTCGCGTGGGAAATGTTTCCAGGTGTCCTTAACCAAGTTACCGCACACAAACTTTGTAGTTGGGGAAATAAGGCGGACGTGTGTAAGTTGCTAGGATACACGTGGAAAGAAGATAAACCCAGAGGAAACCACAATCTTGTCTTAAAGTGAGTCATATAACCCGAGGTGTAAAAGCACAAATAGGCCTTAGGAGGAAGAAGGCAAGATTGTTTAAAAAAATTTAATTAGTGTCTATCTGCATGTGTTTAATGTATGGGTGTGGAGGTCAGAAGACAACTTAGAGGAGTCAGTTCTCCTTCCATAGTGGATCTGGGGGATAGAACTTAGGCTGTCATGCTTGGTGTCAAGCACTCGATGGTCCCAATTTTTTTTTTTAATTTTTTTTGTATATAGGTGTTTTGTTGACATGCATATCTGTGCATCATGAGTGTGCCTAGTTTGCTCAGGGAGGCCCGAAGAGACCATTGGATCCTCTGGGACTGGAGTTTCTGGTGGGTGTCGTCATCATATGGGTGCTGGGAATCGAGCCTCTGAACAGCCAGAACTCTTAACTGCCTAATTTTCTCTCCAGCTCACCCCCCAAATGCCTTTAAATGCAAAATAGTAAGAGCCAGTATAGCCTGATGACTAAGAGCATGGATTCAAGAGCCACATGGCCTGGGTTCAAACGCGGGCTCACCACTTACTAGTTAAAACTGTAGGCAACTTTAGTCCTTACCTGCTTCTTTTTCTACACCTATAAACTGGGGCTACTAATAGTAGCTGCTTCTTAAAATGATTATGACTTTAAAATATCAATAACTTTATACCAGTATACTAAACTGATAGTATTGGAGGGCTCCCCTGGGTTATAGATTTGAGAAACCTTTAGCAAGGGCAGTATTTTAAATTAGGCCGTTGAAGTATAGATGCGTGTGTATGGTGATTATTAAAGCCAGAGCTTTATGCATGGTGATGTAGTGCTCATCCAAACCCTGAACTCTAGAGTAGGCAGAAGGTAGTAAGATGTTTTCCTAATGGGGAGAAGCAACACAGAGTGAATTCTATGGAGGAGCTTTGTGGACATTGGCCTTTCTGTGACATACAGGAAAAGAACACAGATGCAAAGCTTGTGGCCAATGTTGTGGGGACACAGATGGACTTTTTTTTTTTTAATATGCTTAGGTTTAATAGACCTCTGCAAGTAAGGTGAATTTTAATTATTTCAGAGCTAAACCATGTGCGTATTGCTGATTCCTTTTGTAGTTTCTGTGTCTTGATAAATTTCTGGTGTTTGTCCTCCATAAGCTGTGCTGATGTTCTTGCAAAGGAAGGAGAGGTCCATGTGGCACTGTGCAGAGGACAAGGTGGAACTCCTGCTGATAAGCCCCAGAGAGAGTGGCACAACAGTTGGCAAGTGGTTGCCATGGCAGCCTTGGGAGGGTTCATTTTAAGTGATGTGTACCCCTTCAGCTGTGAGGCTGTGCCAGGATACAAATGCACTGGGTATAGGTAAGTGATACCGTAGGCCTAAACCTTCTCTCCTCCCATCTCTTGCATGAAGTAATTAAAAAAAAAAATCAAAAGTAAGCTCTTGCCTTTCTAATTTCCAGATTTAGGTTCAAAAATATTTTTTTAAACTGATGGCAGCCTTCACACACACACACACACACACACACACACACACACACACACACACACAGGTTGGAGAATATTATTTTAAGGTGTGTTACTTTTGTTTATGTTGCATTTATTTAACTCTGTGAAGCTGTGTTACTGTGCCTGTGTAAAACACCTGATGGTCTAATAAAGAACTGAACTGCCAATAGCAAGGCCGGAGGGACAGATAGGTGGGGCTGGCAGGCAGAAAGAATATATAGGAGAAATCTGGGAAAAAGAGGAAGTAGCCAGAGAAGGAGGAGGATTCAGGGGCCAGCTACCCAGCTACACAACCAGCAAGTCACAGAGTAAGAGTAAGATTTACAGAAGTAAGAGAACAGGAAAAGTACAGAGGCAAAAGGTAGACGAGATAATTTAAGTTAAGGAAAGTTGGCAAGAAACAAGCCAAGCTAAGGCCGGACATTTATAATTAAGTATATGCCTCTATGTGTGATTTATTTGAGATCTGGGTGGTGGGCCCCCCAAAAGAGCAAAAACAAACAACAACATATATGCATCTATTTAATTTAAACAAAAATGTAAGTACATAATATTTAATTTAAACTAAATGAAATATAAATGTATAATATTTAATTTAAAGAAGTTGTTTGTTCACTTATTTTGGCAGGAGTCAGGCTAAGTCATTTCATGTAGAAGGTGCTTTGAACCATGTCTTCACCCAGAGCTTACCCTTTGAAGGCTCTCAGCCCAGAGCATTCAGAGTCAGACTGGAAGACCAGTGGTTTTCCTTTACAGAACCAGAAGGACTTGCAGGAAAGTTGAACAGGTAATCTTTTATTTTGCTGGAATCACTCCTGTCCCTACTTGTACCATGATCGTCTTAATGGTCACCGAATTTTGAATGAATGGTTCATGAATTGTTAATGATGTTGGTGCTGTGAGGCTGATATATTGTAGGGGTGGTGGCAGAGGTCTAGACTATATGCTAATTCTCCAGGCCTGGGAGTACAGTTCAGTGGTAGAATAACCTGCCTAGCATGCACAAGGCCCAGAATTTGCTCCCGTCATTGTAAAACAGAACAAAACAAATAGCAGGCCCCAAACTAAACCCCAAAATGTACATTCTCAAAAAAAATGTGCATGCTCTTTCTCCATATGACAAATGATTTATTTTCAGGATCAGTTTAAGGATAATTGTTTTCTGTATAAGAACAAACGATTTTAATGCTAGCAATTATTATTGTAAGTGAAAAATTATTTTATGTGTTTAAACAGGCGGTTTCTTGAAGCATCCTCCTGTCATCCTATCAGAACCATCAATGAGAAACTCATTGCTGAACTGGGCAAAAATTTTCCTTTCAAAAGGCTGAAGTGCTCCTTCCCTTTGTTGTCACAGGGAGGCACCAGTGTCCTCCCTCCAGAGACTGGCGACCTTCTGCCTGCCTTTTGGATTAGTCTCCATGAAGATAACTCAGATTCTGAGTCCCTGACTGGTGGAATAACACAAGAAATGGAAGACGTTGTCCTGTCATTTTCAGGACATGCCCTTCCCAAGAGTCCTGGGAGAGACAGCTGCAGAGCAGCTCACGCGGGGATCCGTGAACAGGTCAAGCTCTGCCTTAGATCTTCTCTTCTAGTTCACGCTGAAGCTGTCATCCATTCGCCGGACTTCCTCCCAGGTTCTCTGCACATCCTCAGTGGGCCTGTCTTTCAGAAGTGCCACATTTTACCTTTCAGGATGCCAGCATTTCACGAGACTTTGTTTATTCTTGGGTTAAATACAAATGGGAAGGATAGCTGCCTTATGTCACTGCTGGGTCACCTGAAGGAGAGTCTAGATAACCTTCTGACTCAGACATTGCTGGAGGGCTCCAATTTGAGCACTTCAGTGGAATTTGTCCTTCAACCAAATGGAAAGGATTATATAATTCATGTGAAGTCTCTAAATTTGGGCCCAGATTGTACTGAGAATCTGATTATTGGGACTGTTTTCACATCTACAACTGTTGCACACAAACACCAGCGTTTTGTGTTTGTTTCTATAAACTTGGACATATTGGCCATGCTTGTCTATGATATTTCTGATTGGAGAATACTGTGGACTTTTGATAACCGTTTCCTGAAAAGATTTGCCCCTGGGAAAATAGAGCCCTTTAAAAGCTATTCCCTGTATCCTCCACGCTATGTGCATGATATTAGTTTTTGGTTAGATGAAAAGAAAGGATTTGATGAACTAGAGTTTCACACCGTAGCCCGAGCAGTGTCCCAGGACACTATTATTTCCATACAGTTCCTTGGTCGTTTTCAGCATCCAGACACTGAACAGGTCAGTCTCTGCTACAGATTGACCTATCAAGCTTGTGATAAGGCGCTCAGCCCCCAGCTAGCAGCAACAATGCAGTCCCAGTTTAGGAAAGAGATTCAGAGACAGCTGCATGTTTCACTGCGATAGGCTAGGAAAGTCCTTTTTTCTACAGCCGGACCCCTCATTGTATGTTGTGTGTGAGTGAAAAAGAATGACTTGGAACTGTTACTCCTTTCTGGAATCTGTGGGGTTTTTGTTGTTGTTGTTTGTTTTTTGGTGTGTGTGTATATAAGATTTTTTTTTATTGTGACTAAAGTAGTTTTGATGGACCCTAAAGACACCTGTGAACATCATTTAAATCTACAGACTGGCGTGGTGGTGGTGGTGGTGGTGGTGCATTCTTTTGAACCTAGTGCTCAGGAGGCAGAGGCAGGCAAGGGACTGTGTTTGAGGCCAGCCAAGGCTACATAGTAAGGTCCTGTCTCAAAGAACCAAACGAAGCTATGCCCAAAACAAACAAAAATACTCTTACAGACTAATGTGATTGGTGTTGTAGTTCAGTTCTGATCCTGAGTAATGACTGAAAAACAAGTGTTATGTACTTAACTGTTCTTTTGCTGAAGAGGCTGTAGTCTGGATTTCTTACCACATGTATTTGTAGATATATTTCCCACATTCTCAGTTCCTCTTTATCATCTCACTGAGTTTAGGAATGTCTTATTGCATATGTTACACATTTGAGATTATGAACATCACGATACTGCTGTTTCCGTCATTGACTTTGAAGTTATAGAACTCAAGTATCAGAGTTTGAGTTGACATTTGGGTCTGACCAAAGACCTACTCTATTACTTCTCTCTCCCTGGTTTCCAGGAAAGGAAATAGGGATATATATGACTTCTACTGAAGTTGGATGTTTGGTCTTGGTAACTAATGACTATGTATGGAAACTGATCCATATATGATCAATCTTCATTTTTTAAAAATTTTTATTTATTTATTTGGATTTTCAAGACAGGGTTTCTCTGTGTAACAGCCCTAGCTGTCCTGGAACTCACTCTGTAGACCAGGCTGGCCTTGAACTCACAGAGATCCCCCTGCCTCTGCCTCATGAGTGCTGGGATTAAAGGCGCGCACCATCACCACCTAACTTCTTTTACGACCCCCCCCCCCCTGCTCCCCTGTAAAGTGCCTCTAAAACCAAGTTCGAACTCCTAGCCCTCTTTAAAAACAACAAAACTCCGGGCGGTGGTGGCGCACGCCTTTAATCCCAGCACTCGGGAGGCAGAGCCAGGCGGATCTCTGTGAGTTCGAGGCCAGCCTGGTCTCCAAAGCGAGTTCCAGGAAAGGCGCAAAGCTACACAGAGAAACCCTGTCTCGAAAAACCAAAAATAAATAAATAAATAAATAAATAAATAAATAAATAAATAAATAAATAAACAAATAAATAATAAAATAAAAATAAAAACAACAAAACTCTCCCAACAAGGCCTTTTGTTGATGTAGCCAGAATAGTATGTTTGTAATCGGTCCTCAATTGGAATATAGCTCCATTTATTAGACAAGCAACTTTGGACCTTGGCTTCCTTATCAGTAAAAGCAGGGTAGCTGAGCGAATTAAAAAGCACGTGTGTGAAGTGCCTACCGCGGCGCTGTAGTAGCAACGCCTGTGACAAATGCCTGATTGAATTTTCGGCGTACCGTTTCCTCAGGCTTTCACTTCTCAGTATGGATTATTGCCTTGCTAGTTTGTCTCTCCTCTCAACAAGACTAGGCAAGGTGTTAAATGTTTAAGTAACCTTTTAGAGACCACCCACCCCTTGGGTAGCAGCTGTGTGGAGCTCTTTAACTGAATACCTCCGCACACTACTCTTTATAGCACTGGCAAGTGTGGCGTGCTGAGAAATGGGAAGAAGCGAATTAAAGGAAGGGAGAAACACCCAGTGTTAGCAGTGGGAGGGCTAGTCCAGGCTGATGATCCCCGCCCTCGCCCCAGTTGGTCTAATGACAACAGTATTGTCGTCTTTTGTGCGCATGTCAAAGCTTTTTGTCCCTCGGCGGACACCGTTTCCTAGCCCAGCAATGTCTGCGCTTTCCCCGATATTGTAGCGTGCGGAGTTCTACCCTTTCCCCGACGCTAGGCATGGCGAGCCGAAGGGCCCGGCAGCGCCTCAAGGGCGGCGGCGGCGGCGGCGGCGGGGACACGGGCCCGGCCGCGGAGAAGCTGCGGGAGCTGCTGGGCGGCCGGGAGGCCGGCGGCGCGGAACAGCGGCCCGAGTGCGTGTGCGGCCGGAGGGCGTGGCCGGCGGGAGGGCCGGGCGGCCGGGGGTCTCCGCGGCGAGCCGGGGCTTGCTGGCCCGCTGCTCCTGCCGCTCCTGGGAGCGTCCGAGCTCGGGTTGATCCTCGCCCCTCCGCAGGTCCCTGCATTATGGGAGCGAGGGTCTGCCACGCTTCAGGCTCAGGCCCACACTGAGCAGGCTTCGTGCTGGTAGTTAGCCGAGCCTGTGTGGGAGCTGTTGGCAGCAGAGTATGCCTTTTACACCCGAGTCTCCCTGCCTGCCGCTTTATTCTCTCAGTAGCCTCTGCTGTTTTCTGCCCCCTGGAATCCATCAGCATGCCTGTAGCCTGTAGGTGAGGTCTGCATTAAAGGAACAGTCTGCTGCACCTGCACTTTGTATTAGGCCTCCATTCATCTGAAAGAGTGGGGAATAGAGTCTTGGCAAAGGGATGACCTTAAGAAATGGAGAGAGAACATTGTGGCCTTCAAGTGAGTGATTAGTTGGCTTGAGGTGAAAGCGAGTGTTGTAGGTGAAACAGGCCAAGGTGTAGGATACCCTAGTAGCAGGAAGTGGAAGGTGTGATTGAAACGCAATCCCTTATCCATTCTACTCAAACATGGCAAGGCGTTCTTTTAGGTGAATGGCTTTATTGCGTTGCTGTCTTTGGTCATTCCTGTCTTTTCTATCTGGATTTAGTCCTCGCTGGCAGGCTTCCTGATACACTAATGGTTTTGCTTTTCCTTCCGGGCAGGTCTGGAAATAAAGCAGGGCAAGTCTGGGCCCCTGAAGGATCCACTGCTTTCAAGTGTCTGCTCTCAGCAAGGTTGTGCGCTGCTCTTCTGAGCAACATCTCTGACTGTGATGAAACATTCAACTACTGGGAACCAGTAGGTCATCTCTTTAGCTGGTTTTTTGTTTGTTTGTTTGTTTTAGTTTTTGCAATCCAAGGGATCTAACCCATGGTCTTGGGCGTGCTAGGCGAATGTTTTACCACTGGGCTACATCCCCATCCCCCAGTTCTGGGACTTGGCCTTTGATCTTGATTTGGTACTTAGAACTAATTAACAAACAAGTAAAATGCAAGTGTGAAAATACTAAAATAAATTGTTTTCACTTTTATATCATAAAAACTGTGATGAATTGTCTGCACTTTTGTATCCTAAAAACTACTGATTTGGGGCTGGAGCGATGGCTCAGTGGTTAAGAGCACTTGCTGCTCAGTCATGAGGGTTATAGTTCAAATCCCAGAGGCTCAGATGTAGGTTACTCCAGCTCCAAGTCATGATAGCACAGTGTGGTGGTGGCGCACCCCTTAAATCACAGCACTCTGGAAACAGAGGCAGGTGGATCTCTGTGAGTTCAAGGCCAGCCCGGTCTCCACCACGGCTACATAAAGAGACCCTGTCTCAATAAACAGACAGATAAATCTGATGCCCTCTTCTGGTCTCTACAGGCACACACTTGCATGCATACACTTATGTAGACATACACACATCAATAAAACAGATCTTTAAAAAAGCCCACACTGTTGATTTAGTTACTGTTGAAGTCTGTGGCCTTTAGCTGACACACTTGAAGGTGAGGCTTATAATTATCTTTTAAATGGTTTTGTAAATCTTAGTAATACTTGTAGATATAGGTTTTAAAGCTAACAATTACTTGAGGGAAGTACAGTTATTCATTTTCCTCATGTCCAGATTCCACTTCCTAGAGGGAAGCTACATTCTTCCAATTTTTTAAGTGTATTTCTTCTGATGTTGCCAAAATAGTTGTGCTGACTTGTTTTATGTCAGCTTGATACAAGCAAGAGTCATTAGAAAAGGGAGGATCCTCAATTGAGAAAATGCCTCCATGAGAGCGGGATGTAGGCAAGCTGGCCTGTAGGACATTTTCTTTTTTTTTTTTTTTTTTTTTTTTTTTTTTTGGTTTTTCGAGACAGGGTTTCTCTGTGTAGCTTTGCGCCTCTCCTGGAACTCACTTGGTAGCCCAGGCTGGCCTCGAACTCACAGAGATCCGCCTGGCTCTGCCTCCCGAGTGCTGGGATTAAAGGCGTGCGCCACCACCGCCCGGCTTATTTTTTTTTTTTTGGTTTTTGGTTTTTCTTAATTAGTGATTGATGGGGGTGGGTCCAGCCCATTGTGGATGGTGCCGTCCCTGGGCTGGTGGTCCTGGGTTCTATAAGAAAGCAGGCTGAGCAAGCCATGAGGAGCAAGCCAGTAAGCAGCACCACTCCATGGCCTCTGCCTCAGCTCCTGCCTCCAGGATCCTGCCCTGTTTGAGTTCCTGTCCTGACTGCTTTTGATGATGAGCTGTGATCTGGAACTGTCTTCCTTCTGTTAGTTTGTCCTGTCCAGCTTCAATGTGATAGTTTTTGTTTTATTATATTTTATTTTGTTATTTTTTTTTTAAATGAGTGAATGAATGGAAACCTAGTCACTAGGGTAAAGGTTAACAACTGAACTGTCATTTATACTTGCCGAGAGACGGAAAATCAGTTTTCAGCCGGGTGGTGGTGACTTTTTGAATTTGGTTTTTTCCTTTTTGAATGTGGTTTTATTTGTTTTCTTGTATTGGGCCTTTGTTTCTTTGAGAAAGAACTTGAAGTTGGGTGTGTAGGGAGGAAAGGATCTGGAGGAACTTGGGGGAGGAGAAGAATATGACCAAAATATATTTGAATTTGGAAATTGTTTTAAATAATGAAAAATATAACAATAATAATGAAGAAATAAACTCTGGATTCCCCAAGTAGCTTTGGGTAGTGGCGTTTCCTCACAGCAAGGGCAGCCTTAACTAAGACAATAGTGCCACTGATAGTGCACTTGAATGTTGTTTCTTGATTTATATGTTTATGTATTGTTTGCTGACTTCTAGTACAGAAAATTTGGAAGTAAATTTACCCGAACACATTTGTATCAAAAACCAGAGGGAAGATGCTTGCTTAGTGTGTATAATTTAGGAAAATAAAAGACTTAAAGCCTCTGTTTTGGTTAAACTTTATTTTAAGAAAATACACCAGGCGGATCTCTGTGAGTTCGAGGCCAGCCTGGGCTACCAAGTGAGTTCCAGGAAAGGCGCAAAGCTACACAGAGAAACCCTGTCTCAAAAAACCAAAAAAAAAAAAAAAAAAGAAAATACAGTAAAATTTTTAGTTTCTGAATTTAAAACTATGAGGTCATTTGTTTTTCTTATTCATTAGTTACAAATGTTAATTCTCAACATTTTGTCTCTAAAGGTTTTGACACAGAATCTTTACCTGTAGCCCCTTAGGAGGGGCTTTGCTAGTACAACCCTGATCGCATCCGTTTCTGCTTTCAGACACACTACCTCATCTATGGGAAGGGGTTTCAGACGTGGGAATACTCCCCAGTGTATGCCATTCGCTCGTATGCGTACCTGTTGCTGCATGCCTGGCCAGCTGCGTTTCATGCCCGGATTCTGCAGACTAATAAGGTAAGGGTGGCTACCCTGATAGCGGCCACATCGATCAATAGTAAGTTTGTGTAGCTAACCTGATAGCAATCACATCCATCAACAGGTAAGTCTGGAGCACTTTTGAAAAGAGAACAGGGGGCTGGAGAGATGGCTCAGAGGTTAAGAGCACTTACTGCACTTCCTTAGGTCCTGAGTTCAATTCCCAGCAACCACATGGTGGCTCACAACCATCTGTAATGAGATCTGGCGCCCCCTTCTGTATACATAATAAATAAATAAATTTAAAAAAAAAAAAAAAAGAAAAGAGAACAAAATCCATTGATGGTGAAGAGGCTGATTTCTTTTTATTTTTCTTCTTGGAGGAGTCGTCTTGTGTTTCATAGACGAGTCTGGAACTGTTGGACTCATGTACTTTTCCCTCTCATTTCCTGAGTTACTGTGTCCGCAGGCCTGGGCTTTTTTGTTTGTTTGTTTGAAATTGTGTCTGTATGGTCATGTTTGGGTGTGGGTGTGTGAGCCATGTGGAGGTAAGAGGACAGTCTTTTAGATTTGGTTCTCTCCTTCCACTGTAGGTGTCTCAGATCAAACTCAGGTTGTCAGGCTTGTGCAGCCACACTTTTTAACCTGCTGAGTCACCTCACTGCCCATCATCCAGCACGTGCTAATAGAGCAGCTTTGATTTAGTATAGGTCATGTTAAGTGATGGAACAATGACCAAGTTGAGTCTGCCTTCATGGAAGTTACAGTTCCTTGGGGGAAGAGAAACATTAAATAATTCAGAAATGTAGGTTTATAAGAGAAAAGTACAGCCATGATGGGGTAGCATATTTAAGAGGGTCTAATTTAAGTAGAGTGCTCAAGAGTTAACTGCAACCTGACCTGCCTTAGGGATAAAATTTTTGACTATGTATGTTTTGATGTGGATTTTTTTTTGAGTTTATTTTGTTACTTGAATATCTAGGCGTATGCATTTTGCCAAATTTGGGAAGAGGTAGGGGTGTGGGTGTAGGTTTGTGGGTCTGTGTGAGCACATGTGCCTGGGCACAAGTTCAGAGGCCAGAGGAGACACCAGGTGTCTTCCTCTATTGCTCTCTGCTTTGCTCCCTTGAGACAGGGTCTCTCACTAAACCTGAAACTCTCCTCTTGCCTAGGAGATGGCCCGTGAGCTCCTAGGAGCCACTTGTCTCCGCCCCCGATGTTGAGGTTACAAAAGCACATGGCTATCCATCCATACCTAGCTTTCACATGGGTGCCACGGTCTGAATTCACATCTGCATGCTTGTATAGCATGCACTCTTTGTTGTGGAACCATGTCCCCAGCCCCAAATCCGAGAACTTTTTAGCTGTTATTTTTAATAGCGTGTGTGTGTGCATGCCTGTGGAGTCCAGAGGTGTCAGAACCTTTGAAGTTGTAGTTACAGGTGGCTCAGCTGGGACTTGAACTCCCGTCCTCTGGAATAGCAACACATACTTTTAACTGCTGAGCCATCTCTCTAGCCCTGGGAACAGTGTTTGTAATTGAAGGTCTAAGGATAGGAAAAAGGCCAGCATTGTTTCTCCTATAAATTAGTTTGATGTATGGAAAGTGGTGGACTGGATTAAATGAGACTGGGAATAGGGAAGAGGTCAAATCTGTGTAAGGTCTGATAGGATCTATTAGGAAATACTGGGAGTGTTTTTGTTTTTGTTTTTTGGCTACCCCCCCCCCCCCCCCACACACACACATTGAAAAGATTTGGAAGAGAGCCATGGTTATAGTTGCATTTCACAATGATCAGGGTGGTAGCACACATAGAACGTGACAGGACACCGTCTCTTCTTTTTGTACCAAGTATCTCATTTCTGGCTTTTTAGGCTTCATTCTGCCTCTGAATTTGTTAGAGGAAAAATAAGCTGGAGGACTCAGTAGAGAACCAGCAGCTTGCAGTGTTACATTTTTATTTCCAGTTGAATATCCATTATCACATTGAACTTGATGTTTCCAGAAGTGTTCCTCTTCTTTCACTTAACCTTACACATGTGGTGTGAACAGCACATGTTCCAGTTCCCTCTGTTGCTGTGGTAAAACATTCTGACTGAAAACAACTTGGAGGGAAAGGGGTTGTTTGGCTTACATTTCCAGGTCGTAATCCACCATTAAGGGAAGTCAGGGCAGGAACTCAAGCCGGGAGTAAATCAGAAACCATGGAGAAATGCTGCTTGCTGGTGTGCTCCCTGGCCTTAATCATTTGGCTTTCTTGTTTTTGTATACTAGACTGGCCTTGAACTCACCAAGATGTGTCTATCTCTGCCTCCCCAATGCTAGGATTCAAGTATGTGCCACCACTTCTTTCTAGCTAGCTTTTTATACAGTGCCGGTCTGTTTGCTTAGGATGGTGCTGTCCACAGTGGGCTGGGTCCTCCTGTGTCAGTCATCAGTTGAAACAGTCTCTCACAGATATGGCCTCAGATTAGTTTGATTAAGGATGTTCCTCAAGGGAGGTTCTCTTCCCAGGTTATGCTAGTTTATGTCAAATTGATAATAAAAACTAACCAGGATGCAAGTAAAATGGGAGAGAGATTTCCCTTTTGTTCATACTTCAGTCTCTTCTCCCTGTTAGTTCTGCCAGCCCGAGTCAATAGGGACCCACTTGCAAAGAGAATTTTAGCTTGTAGAGCAGTGGTTCTCAACCTGTAGGTTGCAGCTCCTGAAGAGGTTGCATATTGGGTATCCTGCTTATGAGATATTTACATTATGATTCATAACAGTAGCATAATACAGTTATGAAGTAGCAACGAAAGAATTTTGTGATTGGGGGATCACCACAACACAAGGAACTGTAGTAAAGAGTCCTGACTGTATTAGGAAGATTGAGAACCACTGTTGGAGAGTCTCTACGCCCCTCATCCCCCTCACCTGCATCCTAATGCTGAAGAGAGAGTAGGTTGTTGGTGGAAGACAGTGTGGTGATGCTTGGCACTCTACTCATGGCTGCCTTTCTCCCTTCTTGCTCTTCCGAGTGTGAGCACTTCTCTGATTCTGGATCTGTGTGTGAATTGCTCTGTCATGCACAGGGGTGGGACTCCACACAGAGGCCCTTGTTGAAGGTCGTTGTTTGGCTCCTTTGGGGGGGCCTGCCACCCAGTTCCCCCAATAAATCACACGGAGGCTTAGTCTTATGAATGCCTGGCCTTACTATTTCTAGCCAGCTTTCCTTAACTTATCCCATCTCCCTTTTGCCTTTGGGGTTTTCCTGTTCTTAATTCTGTAAATCTTACTCTTACTCCGTGGCTTGCTATGTAGCTGGGTGGCTGGCCCCTGGAGTCCCCCTCCTTCTCTGGCTCCTAGATCTCCCATCCTCTTCTCCCAGATTTCTCCCTCTATATATTCTCTCTGCCTGCCAGCCCTGCCTATCCTTTCTCCTGCCTCACTATTAGCCAGTTCTTTTTTTTTTTTTTCTTTTTCGAGACAGGGTTTCTCTGTGTAGCTTTGCGCCTTTCCTGGAACTCGCTCTGTAGACCAGGCTGGCCTCGAACTCACAGAGATCCGCCTGGCTCTGCCTCCCGAGTGCTGGGATTAAAGGCGTGCGCCACCACCGCCTGGCTTTAGCCAGTTCTTTATGAGACCATCAGGTGTTTTACACAGGCACAGTAACACAGCTTCACAGAGTTAAACAAATGCAACATGAACAACCCTTAAAGTAACACCCTTAAAATATTCTTGTTTAGCCTCCATGTGGTTTAGAAGCCTAGTGTTCCCTTCAGCAGTCCTCAGTCCTGTTTGTTGCCTCTGACTTTCTCGTGTATTTGAACTGCTTCTCACTGTGGCTGGATTCCTTGGCTATAATGGACAAATGTTCTTCATGTATTTGTTAATCAGATTTCCTTTTTTGTGAATTACCCTTTCACATTTTTTACTTTTTGTTTTGTTTTGTTTTTTGAGACAGGGTTTCTCTGTGTAGTTTTGGTGCCTGTCCTGGATCTCGCTTTGTAGACCAGGCTGGCCTCAAACTCACAGAGAACTGCCTTCCTCTGCCTTCTGAGTGCTGGGATTAAAGGTGTGCGCCACCGCTACCTGGCTTCCTTTACTTGTTTTTAAATTAGGTTTTCTTTTTGCTTCTGAGATGGGCTCTCACTCTGTAGCTGTGGCTGGCCTGGTACTCACTTTGTAGTCCAGTTGGCTGCAAATTCCTGGCAATCCTCTTGCCTCAGCCTCCTGAGTGTGGTATTAAGACGTGAGCCTCCCAAATGGATGGAACTAGAAAAAATCATCCTGAATGAGTAACCCAGACCCAGAAAGACAAACATGGTATGCACTCACTCATAAGTGGACATTAGCTGTAATATAAAAGATAACTATGCTACAATCCACAGACCCAGAGAGACTAAGTAACACGGAGGGTACATGGGAGGATGCCAGGATCTCCCTGGGAAGGGAAATAGAGATTTCGTGAGTAGACTGAGGCAGTTGGGGATGGGAACATGAGCGATCAGGTTGGTGGGAGATTGAAGGGGAGAGTACTGAAAGAGACTACTGGAAAGGGGAGGCATTTCGGGGTCAGATAAAAACCTGGCACAAGGGAATCTCCCAGGTATCTACAAGGATAAGGATGACCCCAGCTAAGACTCCTGAAATAATGGATGCATAACCTGAGCTGGCCGTTTCCTGTGACCAGATTGGTGCCTAACCCAATTGTCATCAGAGAGGCTTCATCCAGCAACTGATGGAAATGGATGCAGAGACCCACAGCCAAACATTCTGCAGGGAATCCTGCAGAAGAGGGAGAGAAAGGAGTGTGGGAGTCAGAGGGGTCAAGGACACCACAAGAAAACTCACAGAATCAGCTAACCTGGGCTCATAGGGGCTCACAGAGACTGAACAGACAACCAGGGAGCCTGCATGGGACTGACCTGGGCACTCTGCATATATGTTACAGTAGTGTAGCGTGGTCCTCTTGTGGGACTCCTAACTGTGGGAACAGGGCCTGTCTCTGACTCTTTTATTGGCTTTTGAGACCCTAGTCCTCATACTGAGTTGCCTTGCCGAGCCTTAATGCATGGGGAGGGGCTTAGTCTTACTGCAACTTGACGTGCCATGTTTTGTTGATATTCCATGGGAGGCCTGCCTTTTCCTAAACAGGAGGAGTGGTTTGGGTATGGGAACAGAAAGAGAGTGGGGGAAGGGACTGGGAGGAGAGGAGAAAAGGGAAACTGGGGCTGGGATGTAAAATAAATTTGTTTAAAAAGTAAAATAACGAAGAATGGGGGGAAAAGATGTGATCCTCCTCACCTAGCTGCTGTTGGATTTCCTCCTTTTCTCTCTGGTCTGTAGATGTCATGCAAGTGTCATTTTGTTCAGAGCGCCAGCTCTGTTGACTTGTCCGCAGCTCTTTGCTGAAATCCTTACCTTTGACATAGTCAAGTACGTTCCTCCTGGGTCCTAGGTCTTTCTAAATGAACTCCTCCTTCATCCCACAAGTTGCAGGAATGTTTTTCCTGTTATCTTCTGTTAGCTTTCTTTTTACCTGTCTCTTATGAGACTTCTGTCATTGGTCCCCTCCCCCCTTTTACAATGGTGGAACGTAATTGAGTTTGTATTTTGATCTTTATGCGGAATGTCTCGGTAAATTTCCAGACTGATGCTGGTAGTTTGTCAACCGAATCTCTTGGCTTCTTTCTCAGTTGTGTTTATGTCCTTATCCGTTTTATGTTGCTATAGCAAAGGCTGGGTCGTTTATAAAGGAAACAAACAGCTGGATGTGGTGGCACAGGCCTTCCATCCTGCACTTGGGAGGCAGAGGTAGGGATCTCAGTGATTTTTTTTTTTTGAGGCTAGCCTGGTGTACATAATGATTGGAGAATTGAAATGATACAGTGTCAGCATTCTGGTAAGGGCACCCTGACTGTATCATTTGAAGGAGATGCAGAAGGAAACAAGGTGTATACCTGAGGGCAAAGCCGAGGTAGCATACTCAGTCTGTGACAGCCCATTCTCAGGGGAACTAATCCAGTCCCACGAGGACCTGCCCCTTCTGAGAGAGTATTAATTTGTTTATTGAACAGAATCTCCTAAGCCTCCTTGCTTGTCTACTGGGGCCTGCTTCTTGTACGTTCATCATCTTAATGCCCTCTCTGGAGACCAGCTTCTAGAACTCAAACGCTTAGGACAAACCATAGCTATACACTTTCTTTCTCTCATTCTGCCCTTAGACCTCCTTTCTCTTTCCTTCTGCACTGACGGGGACTTGGAGTTACAGTGCTGATAGGGAGCCAATGGCATCATTGTCCTGCTGAACATTCTTAGACCAGTTTTTTTTTTTTCTTCTGAGACAGGGTTTCTCTATGTAGCTTTGCGCCTTTCCTGGAACTAACTTGGTAGCCCAGGCTGGCCTCGAACTCACAGAGATCCGCCTGGCTCTGCCTCCCGAGTGCTGGGATTAAAGGCGTGTGCCACCACCGCCCGGCTTCAGTTCATTTTTTAAAAAATTTATTTTTATTATGTGTGTGTGTCTGTGTGTGCGTGAGAGTGCAGGTGTCTACAGTCCAGAAGAAAGTGTTAGATCTCTTGGAGCTGGACACGCACGGGTGCTGGGAACTGAACTTGGGTCCTCTGAAAGAGTAGTATGTGATCTTAACCTCTGAGCCACCTCTCCAGCTCCAGTTCATTTCTTTTCTAACTTTCAAACGTTGCTTATGAGGAGTCCTTATCATAGACACTTGTCTCAAATCATCTGCCCCCGCGGCACCTGTAACAGTGGCCATTGTGTCGTAGGCTCTCAGTGTTCTATTAATGAACCTGACTCATGGGCTCTTTATAAAACTCAATTGGGAATTTGGTCGGTTGTAGTGATAAGCATGGGCAAGGTTTCCGTGTTGGCACCTTACATTTATCTTTCTGTGTATGGAAGCAGAGTCAGCTGTGAGGATTCAGCACTCTTGACATACAGTGCTCTATAGTATAACAGCTAAGCAAGGGCCTGAAAGGTGACTCAGCGGGTTCAAGAGCACTGGCTGCTCTTCCAGAGGACCTGGGTTTACTTCTCAGCACCCACATGGCAGTTAAGACAACCATCTGTAACTGCAGTTCCAGGGAATCTGATGCCCTCTTCTGGCCTCCTGGGGCACTGCATGGAGGTGGTGCACAGACATGCATGCAGGCAAAACTCACATATGCATAAAATAAAAATAAGTTGATCTTAAGAGCTAGTCAATATAACCCTTATTGTTATTTTTAACTAAACTTGTGCCATTAATTATAGAATTAATTAGTCCATAGTGCAGACATTTAGAAGATAGGAGTTAAACACCTTAATCCCAGTAGGCTGCCACATCTCTTCTTACCATTGTGTGTCTTTCCAGCCTTTCATATGCATGTAGTTTCCATAGCTGTAATGCTGATGTATTTTGTAAATAATCAGTATTTAAAATTTTATGGCTGTTTATGGCTTATATGTACAATCCTAGCACTTGGGAGACTGAGGCAAGAGGATTGCTGTAGGTTTAGGTCATCCTGGGATCCATGGTGAGGATAGCTTGAGCTACAGTGTGAGACCCTGTATTTAGAAGGAGAGAGGGAGGGAAAAGGAGAAGACTCGTTGGGTTAGCAACAAATGAACAAGGTATCACGTTTTTCCATCTTTGCAACCCCGACTGTTATACTCTGAAATAGATGTGGCATGATTAGTTGCATATCTACTTATCACTGGATATTTTGCAGTTTTTAGTAAATTAATAGCGCTGCAATAGATGTTTTTATGAATGGAAGCTCCCACCCCTCCTGCAGTAAAAGAAGTAGGTACACCGAGTTTGGGGATCTGGAAATTTGTGTGGTTCTTAATAAACTCAGCTTTCAGGAGGATTGTATCAGTTTATAGAACAGTTTACCAACAGCAAATGACAACTTTTCATCCTTACAAGCTTTTTGGCTCGTGTTGCTGACTTCTGTTTTTTCACTCTGGGTTTCTTTCAGATTCTTGTCTTCTACTTTTTGAGATGTCTCCTGGCTTTTGTGAGCTGTATTTGTGAACTTTACTTTTATAAGTAAGTATCAAAACTTGGCACACTGTAGCACAGATCTCTGTCAGCAGCTGTCAGAGATCACGCCTTCTCTCTTCTGGCGCTCTAGCTAAGGACAGCTTCTCGTCTGAAAGGTAATTGAGGAGGAGTGCATCCAACTCCTGTTCCCATTGGCATACCTCTGATTTTAATTCGCACTACATGTCTCGCTAGTCTTAGTAGCATTTAGTGAAACCTTATTTTTGGTTCTCAGTGAAGGATAGATTCACTTTTTCCCGAGAGCTGAGCTGATGGGAGACTATTCCCAGTGTAAGATTCTGCTCTCATTTGCACTCAGTACATTGCCTCACACCGAGTAGCTCTCAGTTGATTGAATGTTAATGAATCCATTAGGCATTGAAGTATTCTAGCAATAAAATAGCTGCCTTTTAAAAAATGTAACACATAAAAACCATTAAATTTAATAGTGCCTTAACACATTAAAAGAGGTACTCAGAGTTAAGGATCATTATTAGAAGTCTTCCCATAGTTAGATGTGCCAGATTAAAATTAATTTTTGGCCTTAACTCTGACGAGGGTAGCGGTAAAGACAAACCCAGTGTTCCCTCTGGGGATTGTAGCCATAAGTTGGTTTTCATGTGGAGTTGGGCCTGAATTCAAATCACCTGTCTCATCTCCTAAGTCCCACGATGGGGTTTATGGTAAATTGTCCGGGATTAGTGGAGGTTCCATACATCATGTAAACATTTCCCTAGGGCACGGGACTCTTAATGCAGATGTCAGAAAATCACCAGGAGTAAAGTTCGGCTGCTCAAGACAGTATGACAGTCCGGCTGGGAAGTGGCTGTGCCTCGAGCTCTTGCTTCATGTGCACCCCGGGGCTCTGGGTTCAGTTCCAGGAGGCATGAGAAAAGAGCAAAGAAGTCCCAGTAAAAGTCCCACACAAACCAGGGAAATCACAGAGACAAGACATTGAAGAGCTAGCAGAAATAACAGTCACCAGAAAGCTGGCCTGTGAATCTTCATTTATTAGAAATTATTAAAATGAAAACAGCATTGTATGTGGAGAAGTGAAAGAGGGAACTGAAAACATGAAGAGAAGCAAGAACCTCCAGAAATGACCAGGCCAGTGTGAAAAATAGTAAGAGCGTATAGAGATGAAAATGTGATTATTTTATGTTGACTTTATATATATGCATATATACATATATGTGTGTGTAACATCAGTACAATTTATATAACATTGATATTTAAAACTCAGATAGTCTAAACAGATTAAGATTGCTAGTAAGCAAAGTAGTAAAGTGAAAGATAAATTTGAAGAAATTGCTAGGAATAAAGTATAGAGAAAAAAAGAAACATAGAGGAAGTTAACGTGTAAGGTGTCTATGTCTGATATAGAGAATTAGAAGAGGCAATATTCAGGGAGGTATAGCTCACAGTTTTCCAGAGTTAGTGGGAAAGGGAGGTAATCCATAAGTTCAGTAAGTCTTGCATCTTAGTATGGGAATATAAAAAGAACTTAGTGACACTGTGTACAGCACCAGAGATAAAGAAACGGTCTTGAAACTGGACGAGGAATTAATGGAGTACCTGTGAGGGCATGCTGAGCAGTGAGACTGACAGAGAGAAGAGCCATCAACAGCAGCAGACAGAGCACTTCACAGTGTGAGAGGGGGCAGGAGGGCTCAGCAGCAGAGCGCCTGAATACCGTGCTCGGCTCTGGGCTCCATCCCTCGCAGAACAAACCAGAATGCCAAGGCAAATGCCAGCTGTGCTCAAAGTGTGTGCTGGGCTGAACTGTCTTTTAAGATCAAGAGCTAAATACAGATTTCCAATTTTTTTAAAAAAAGAAAAGCCAGCCAGGTGCTGGTGGCTGTGAGTTTAAGGTCAGCCTTGTGTGCAAAGCGAGTTCCAGGATAGCCAGGGCTATTACACAGAGAAACACTGTGTTGAAAAACAAACAAACAAAAAACAAAACAAAAACCACACACAAAAGGAAAAACCAGCTACAAATTAGAGAAATTATTATTAATATATTCTCACTAAAAGAACTTCTAAAAGATGAATCAAAACCATTTCAGAAAGAAACAGATGAAATAAACCTGAGTGAGAACATGCCTAACACATGAAAAATACTAAAATCAATAGCAGCGCTGGGTGTGATGGCCCATGCCTTTAATCCCAGCACTCGGGAGGCAGAGGCAGAGGCAGGCAGATCTCTGTGAGTTCAAGGCCAGCCTGGTCTGCAAAGGGAGTTTCAGGACAGACAGGGCTACACAGAGAAACCCTGTCTCAAAAACAAACAAACAAACAAACAAACAAACCCAAAAACCAAACCAAAACAAAAAACCCAAAACCAACAACAAAAAATCCCCACTGAGTTCTTTAAGTGCTGCTTGCATGCCAATGGGTGCGGAACAGTTCACTAGAACACAGACCACCTACCAATCGCTACATCCCCAAGAAAAATGACTCCCTTGCCAGTAGCCATCAATATCAGTAGGTCCTCAGCTGTGGGTAGGGCCTCGGGAGCCCTCCCTCATTTGTGCTAGAATGTTGATGGACTTGGTCTTGTGCCGGTAATCACAGCTGCAGTGAGTTGATGAGGGATGTGGCCCTGTCACGTCCAGAAGACAGGATTTCAGAGCACTCCTCTGGCTCTTACATTCTTTCCATCCCCTCCTCAGTCATGTTCCTGAACCCTGGTGCTGGTGCTTTATATAGATGTCCTTTGAGGGCTAAGCACTCAGTTGTCACTTACTCTCATCACTTGGGCAGGTTAGGGTCTCTCCATTAACGTTGACCACTGTAAATTGATGCTTCTCTGCCCAAGGTTGAGTATAGCACTAATCTATGGATATAAACAAATACTTAGATTTTTTAAAATTAATGTGTAAAGATATTTTACATGTATGTATATGTGCTTTGTATGTGCCTGGTGCCCTGAGAGGCCAAAAGAGGGTGCCAGATCCCTAGAACTGGAGTTACAGATGGTTGTGAGCCACCATGTGGATGCTGGTAACTGAAATCTGGTCTTGTGGAAGAGCAGCCAGTGCTAGTTAACCATTGGATCATCTCTCCAGCCCCAGAAGACAGTTGACAACATGTCCATTTAGCAAAACTGAAATAGTAGCTTACCCACTGTAGCCTGGATCTTCCCAGCAGTGGGCTTCTAGCCAGGTTTACCGTTTCAGCATGAATTCCTCCTGTGAAGGAGGACTCAGATCCATCAGAACGCAGTTGGTTACCCCTTAACAGTAGTCACTGTTGAGCCTGTGGACACATCTTGCCTGACAGGTTTGTATTATGGCATGCAGGGCTCACTGCTGGAGAAGATCACTGATGACTTTTCTCCTTCAGTTGTCTATAGTGCACCTTCCAGCACCATGAATGCTAGCCAGCAGGGAGGCCGTTTCCAGGTTAGCTCTAGTTTGATTTCTTTGTCCTGCAAACATCCTTAGTTTTGATTAATCTGCCCCTCTTCTTTATCTCCCTTCCCCCATCACTGCTTAAACCTTTAACCCCTTGTATTATTCCTCTTTGCTTTTGTTTTTTTTTCCAAACAGGGTTTCTCTGTGTGGCCATGGCTGTCCTGGAACTCACTCTGTAGACCAGGTTAGCCTCGAACTCAGAGATCTGCCTGCTTCTGCCTCCTGAGTGCTGGGATTAAAGGTGTACACCACTGCACAAAGCATCCCTCTCTGCTTTTCTACCATCTGTGTTGAGAACAATCTTTGCTAAACAACTTGTGCTAGGCACTTCACTAAGTACTTTTCCGGCATTAATCATCACAGACACTTTATGTAGGCATGGTTGCTATCCTTATCTTACAGATGTGAAATCTGGCAGGTTATATAATTAGCCACTGCTGGTAAATGGCAGAGCCAGAATTTGAACCTACCTGAACCTGGGGTCTGTTATTTCTCACTATATCATGCTATTTCCCTATTGATAGTAGACATAATTTTAAATATGTAGCTTTTCTTAAAGACAAGCTTTTTTTCTGTGCCAAGAGTAAGAAGTCTGTTTCTTATGCACATGACATTCTTAACAACTTTTAAATGCATTTCCTCTTAAGGAGCTTTTCTGTGTCAGGAGTAAGAGGTTTGGGTTTCTTGTGCATATGAAATTGCTAACAAGTCTAGACAGGTCTATATTTGACTTTAGCTCTTCGTTGTTATTTCTCATACAGGCCTGCATTTCTTCTTTGCTTTGCAATTTCTGTCTCTTAGTATCCACAGTATTAATGGTCTTTATCTTTTCTTCCAGGGCTGTGTGCAAGAAATTTGGGCTGCATGTGAGTCGAATGATGCTGGCCTTCTTGGTGCTCAGCACTGGCATGTTTTGTTCATCGTCTGGTAAGTAGAAGGGCAGATCAGGGGGTAGCAGCTTTACCTTCCTATACAGTTGTCTTGAAAGGAAGCACTCGTCCAACAAGGTTATATACACAAGTGCTTGGCAGGTCACTGTTGTGTGAACTGCACAGATTCGTGAGTAGTGGAACTGGCAGTCTCACAGAGTACCTTCTGTTCCTTCTCCTTCCTAATGACTCACTTCCTTTCTTGGCCATCAGGGGGAGGAAAGTATTTTTGATTGATGGTTCTGTTTTCTGCCTGTTATTTGATGTATTCTATAGAGGTTCCATCTCTTGGGCATTTATTTTTATAGTTAGCTTCTGGACACTTAGAATAAAGGTTCTAAGTAGGACTGGTGGCTTTTCAGCTGTGCTGCCTTTGAACTCTTACATTCTGAGCTAAGGCAGCCTGCTACAAAAGATAGGTTGTTTCCAATTTTCCAGAAAAATTATCTTGCTAAATTATCTCAATTTTAGTTTATGTTTATATAATTAAGACTCTAGTACGTACACTAAATATACACAATTGTACCTTGTACCGAGTTGCATGGTTAGCATTTTCTTCATTGGATATATCAAAATGAATGTTCTACAGGGACCTCTGGACTCCAACTAGACCACCCTTTGAGATCCACTGTAGTAAATGCATCTGCTTCATCAAGATTAGCAGAGACCTCAGATATTTCTGCTCTTTTGTACTCTGCGCTGGCAGCTAGAATTGACTTCAATATTTAGCATCTATCTGTGAAAGTTGCATCTCACATGTTTAATGTTTTAGTTACTTTGCTAATCCAGAAACAGAATGTATGTGTGTGGAGCTTCCTGTGAGTTTTAGTTTCACACTGTCAGTTGAGGCACTCATGAATTCAGAGTCTTTACCGTAGAGCCTTTGAAGTGGACCCTCGCTGAGTGTCTTAAATTTCACTGCCTATTCATTCTGTTCTTGTTAGAATCAACTGACTTTTCTGCTCCAGGAATCAGGCCTTATAAAGCATAAGAAGCCACATTTTTGTTTAGAGTTGTTAGGAATATCTTGCTGTTGTTGCAAAGGCCTTGAGTGTTTTCAGACTGTTGCATGCCATGACAAAGTTATGGCAGATGTAATAATTAAGGGGCTATGCCAAGGCCAGAATGTAGCTCTGAGCCTTGAGAAGACTTCCTAGTGTCCCTATAGGGTACAGGGTGAGCCAGGATGTCTTAGAAGCATATCAGAAGATGAGCCAAAGGAACCAATACATCATCTGCAATGGGTCTGAGTCTTGAATTATATTCCCTGAAATAAAGTTGGAGGTTCCTGGCTTTTGTAAGCTTTAAATTTAGGTGCAGGCCAGGAGAGGAGTGGATGGCTACTAAAATTGTGTAACTTGGGGCCTTGTGTACTTGGAAAAGAGATGTGAGGAAATCAAAATCAGTACACTTTGTGTTTTGAAGAGGAATGAATGTCCTCTGACTGCCCATTTCTTTCCTTCGCTTCCTCCCTTTGTGTATTTCTTTCTACCCAGGGGCTCATGGACCAAGACAGGGCCTCATGTGTCTCAAACTTGCTGCACAGCTGGGGGTGCCCTTGAACTTCTGGTCTTGCTTCTACCTCCTGAGGGCTGGGATTATAGGCGTGTGCCAGTATGCCCAGTTTTTTGTGGCCCTAGGAATCGAATCCAGGCTCTGTGTGTTATAGGCAAGCACTCTATCAACCGAGCCATGCCTCTAGCCTTACTTAGTGCTTGTTTCTGATAGTGGTTTTCCAAAATAGATTCATAATATTGGCATTTTGCAGTGCAGATGAATTTTAAAAATCAGTATCTAATCTCAGACTCTTGTTTTTCTTTTCGTTTCTGTGCTCTTGTAGCATTCCTTCCTAGCAGCTTCTGCATGTACACCACACTGATCGCCATGACCGGGTGGTATATGGACAAGACGCCCATTGCTGTGCTGGGAGTAGCAGCCGGGGCGATCCTAGGGTGGCCGTTCAGCGCAGCCCTTGGGTAAGAAACTTAAGTTATTCCTCTCCTGTATACCACTGGGCACCTGGGCAATCCAAGTGTTGTATCCAATGCAGATTGTCCAGCCATCAACTAAAGTTAAAGGAATCAGTTTGACTGACAGAGACTCTGGAACAAAAGCTTATTGTTCTCATTGTTTATTCATGTGGTTTATTCTAACGAGAGGAGTCACTACTAGGCTCCTGCTGAATGCTACGCATTGCTAGCATTACCAAACCCTTCAAAAGTTTTATTTCTAAATTTTACAACACTGAAAGAAAATATAATAATTTGTACTTTTGGAGGGTTGGGGGTTGGGTAATTGAGACAGGGTTTCTCTGTGTAGCCCTGGTTGTCCTGGAACTCGATCTGTAGACCAGGCTGGCCTCGAATTTACAGAGATCCTCCTGCCTTTGCCTCCTGAGAGCTGGGCTCAAAGGCGTGCACCACCACCTCCCAGCAATAATTAGTATTTTATAAATGAGAATATAGACAGTAAGATTTGAGGTAATTTGCCTTTAACATTATGCTTGCTTTTTAAAATGCTTTTACTGGCATGTACTAATTATACATACTGGGTTTCACTATGACATTTTCGTACATGTATGCAATGTATTCCAGCCATATCCCTCTTCGGAGTACACTCTCTTGTCCCCCTCCCTTTCCTGCTAATCCCCTTCCTCTTTCTTCTAAAGACTGCTGTTTTCTCACACTGCTCCATTCTTTGTTGCTATTTTCCTTGTCACCGAGGATTGAAATGTTTCCTTTTGTCCTTCTCTTTTCTTAAAAAAAAAAAAAAAAAAAAAAAAAAAAGGTGTGTAAGGAGTGTATGTATGTCTGTGTACCCCATGTATGCAGTATTCCTGCAGGGCTAGAAAAGGGCATCAGATCCCCTGAACGGAGCTGCCAGGTGGGTCCTCTGGAAGAGCAGCCCGTGCTCCTCATCCCTAGGGCGTTTCTCCTGCAGCCCTTCCCCTTTCTTGCTCCAATGTCTTCCCTGACTTTGTGTCTCCACTTCCTTGCCTACTCTGTTTCCACACTTCTTTCCTGGTTTGTGCTGCCTTAACTTCCTGACTAGACCAGAGAAATGGTTCAGTGACTAAGGTCACATGCTGCTCTTGCAGAGAACCTGACTTTGGTTCCCAGCATCCGTGATGGGTGGCTCCCAACTGCCTGTAACTGCAGTTCCAGGGAATCAGGCACCCTCTTCTGGACTTTGCAGGCATCAGCACTCATGTATACAAATGTATTTTATACACATAACTAAAAAATAAATCTTAATAGTTGTTATGAATGTTATTTTAAATATAGTATTCCATATTTTTAAAAGTACTTATAGGGTATAGCTTAGTAGTAAAATGTTTGCCTAGAATGTATAGGACCTCACCACAGCAACAGATAAACAAAGAGCAGATTTAATGTGGTGAAAAGGATTTTTGGAGACTTTGCCATGCAAGCCTGAGGACTCAGGTTTAATCCCCCGCACCCACTTCAGGCAAGTGTGGTGCTTCTGAAACGCCAGGGCTGGGCTGGGGACTGAGGAGTCTCTAGAGTTCACTGGCCAGCTAGCCTTGATGGACTGACTGATAAGCTCTAGGTCAGTGGTTGACTCGCTCTCAAAAAATGCAGTGGAGAGCCCCTGAGGGAGAGTTGGCCCAGCAGGAAAGACACTTACATACAAATCTGGAGACCTGAGTTTGATTCCTGGAATCCACATAACTGGAGGAACAGGACTGACTCCTCAAAGTCATTCTTAACCTCCACATCCGCCATGGCACCTGCAGACTCCCACACACGTGAGAATTTACTTTTTTTCTTTTTTAAATTTAACTTTATTTTATGTGCATTGGTGTGAGGGTGTCAGATGCCCTGGAACTGGAGTTACAGACACTTGTGAGCTGCCATGTGGGTGCTGGGAATTGAACCTGGGTCCTCTGGAAGAGCAGCCAGGGCTCTTAACCTCTGAGCCATTTCTCCAGCCCGAGAATTTACTTATTTACAAGTTAAAAGTATATAATAAAATCCTCGTTAATTTCAGAAGGGAGAGGTCGGTGCTTGTTGGGTAGGTGTAGGATAACAGTGTACGTGAATTTATAATCAATATGTCTTACATGCACAGTACATATAGATAGATCAGTGTCAAGATTGTCTAGCAGCATAGTGTCTGTTTCTTGTCCGTCTGTGGCAAGTCTCTCTTGATGGGTCCTTGGAAAGACCAGCTTATTTTTGAGAAGACGTCTTGTCACATACCAGCTTCCTTTCTTCTGTGCTCCTGGGAGGGCTGCTTGGTTCTCTGCTCAGCACAGGCGTCTTTGCTCTGTCCTAAGTATTAAGTGCTTTACTAACGTCTTACTGTGTTTCTCTGTTGAATAGTTTACCCATCGCCTTTGATTCGCTGGCCCTGAAAAACAGGTGGAAGAGTTTCTTCCATTGGTCACTGGTGGCCCTAATTCTCTTCCTGGTGAGTTCCCTTTTTTCTTGTTTTACTCTCATGTTCTAAGTAGTTTCTGATTTGGGAAGGAAACGTCAGGAGTTTATTTTATTTTTCATTCTGAAGTTCTTCCATTAGCATTTTGGAAACTACATCTGCTGTTTTTTCTTTTACTTTAGGTACCCGTGGTGGTCATTGACAGCTACTATTATGGGAAGTTGGTGATTGCTCCTCTCAACATTGTTCTGTATAATGTCTTTACCTCTCATGGGCCTGATCTTTATGGTAAGGCTTTGGAAAATTTGAGGAAAAAGTGGAAAACAGCTTAATTTACCTGAGCCTCACAATTTGAATCCAGTTTTCTCATTTCATCAAGACATCCCTCCCTCCCCCTCCTTCCCTGTGTGCTCCAGGTGTAGTCCAGGTCGGCCTTGAACTGCTGATCTGCTTGCTACATTCCAGTACTGGGATAACAGCATGCCCTGGCCAAATGTGGCATTTTGTGCTGTGTCCTTTTCTGCTGAACACAGAGCTCTTGACTATAGTGCAGTGATAACATAGCCCCTGCGTCTCTTTGACTGGTGTGGTAGTTAGCACTGACCCTCCGTGCTCCTGAACGTTATCCCTAGATCCAGACCTAAAGAGCTTTAAGGAGTTCTGGCTATGCATGGTGTCACTTGGTAGCCAAAACTAGCCTCAAACTTGTAGCAAACCTCCCGACTCAACCTCCCAAGTGACAGAACTACAGAGTTGACCATCCGAGCCTGTCTTATGCTACGGGTTTGGTGCTTTTAAAATTTTTTAGATGGACGGTGGTGGCCCACGCCTTTAATCCCAGCACTTGGGAGGCAAGAGCCAGGCGGATCTCTGTGAGTTTGAGGCCAGCTTGGTCTACATACACAGAGAAACCCTGTCTCGAAAAACAACAACAACAAAACAACTTTTTTTTAAATAATAAACGACTTTTGAGGTGGTGGTGGTGGTGGTGGTGCATGCCTGTAATTCCAGTACTGGGGAGGTGGAGGCAGGAGCAGCAGTGCAAGGCTAGCTACATAGCAAGTTTGAGCCAGCTTGGGCTACATGAGACTCCAGTCTTAAGAAACAGCTGGCTGTAGTGGTACACACCTTTAATCCCAGCACTCGGGAGACAGAGGCAGGTGGATATCTGTGAATTCAAGGCCAGCCTGGGCTACAAAGTGAGTTCCAGGACAGCCAGGGCTGTGGTTTTTATACAGAGAAACCACATCTCAAAAACAACAAAAAAAACAAAAACAAAAACAAGTACAAACCAACAACAAAAACCAAATTTCTTTGTATTATCAGAAAATGAATATAATAACAAAAAGAAAATAAATACATAGCCCCATCATCTCCATGTAATACTATTAACTTTCAGGAGTATATTCCTACATATGTTTCCTATACATACACATTAGATGTTACTTTTTTTTGTTTTTTTTTTTTTTTTTTTCCTTCGAGACAGGGTTTCTCTGTGTAATTTTGGAGCCTGTCCTGGATCTTGCTCTGTAGACCAAGCTGGCCTCAAACTCACAGAGATCCACCTGCCTCTGCCTCCCAAGTGCTGGGATTAAAGGCATGCCCCATCACTGCCTGGCTTGATGTTAGTTTTTTTGGGGGGTGGGGGGAAGAAAGTTTGGAAAATCTACAAGATGAGCAAATGAGACTAGAGTCAGGAAAGAGTGAGTAGATGGTCCAGTTTAAGATGAAGAGAAACTGGATGCCTGTACCTCCTGGGATGTAGTCTCCAGGAACTTGGGTACCTCCATCTCTTACCCAACCACTCCAGTCTCTGAGTGCATTTGAGCTGGTTAGTTACAGAAGGATGTGTTAGAGATTTTTTTTAGATCAGCCAAGCCAGGAAATACTTTATGAACAAATTACCCCCTTGGAATTAGTGTACTTTCTTTTTTAATCTTCTAGGTGTCTCCAGAATACTCTCTATATCCGGATGTCCTGGTTTTGTTGGGAATCAGGTTGATATTATATCTGTGTCCAGGTCAGCTTTCATGTCTAGTATTTGTTTGGTAGCATAGCCAGTTAAACTAGTAGCTTGCTTTGGGAGCCTCTAGATGTCTCCCTTCAGCTAAGGAAAGTTCGTATGTTTTAAATTGCACCTTATATGATTTCATTTGACTACAGTCCAGACTGCATGGTGAAAATTGATTTACATGTACCCAATTGGAAATTTATCCATTATTTATAGGTGAATGAGTTAATTTGTTAATTTTGAAAATCTGGCTTCTCCGTTTTCATAAATGGGCCATTATATGCTGGGTAGTCTGACTGCTTATTAAACTTTTTAAAGAAAATATGAAAGTGAGGTGGTTTTGTAGTCCTCTAGATAGCTCTAGAAATAATCAGGCTAGTAGGGAAAGTGGAGAGGAAAGACTGGATGTTTCCAGTTTAATAGTGGGTTGGTCAAGGACCCTGCAGTAGGTTTGGGGTTACAGTAGAGCTGTGTCCAGTCCTTCTTTGGACACTGGTGTCTGCTGTTCATTTCACACAGTGTTTGTTGAGAAGAACCTTAGGGGTGTGTGCCCCTTTGTAAATCTGCTTTAATTTTACTCCATTTACTTTTGCTGTTTTGGATGTAGAGTACTGGTTACTCTCTCAGTTGTGGAAAAGCTTTGTGGGGATTGTCTCAGCAGCCATGAAAGTGATTGTGTATTACTGTAGGTAGCTGGCCTTAAGGATTCCTTGATAGAACTCTTCCAAGAACACAAATTCTACTCTGATCAAAATTTGAACTTGACAAATTTTTGTTTTGTTTTGGAAACAGGGTTTCTCCACTTAGTCCTAGCTGTCCTGGAACTCACTCTGTAGCCCAGGTTGGCCTTGAACTTGTGATCCTCCTGCCTCTGCCTCCTTCAGCAAATCCTACTGCCATGTAATACCACAACTGGCGACAATTTTTTTAAAAGTCTGATTTACATTCTTTAAGAGTGTTAGCTTCTCGTTTAGATTTTTCCTACAGAGAATGCTATCCTAGCTTTGAGTTGGAACTCCTTATATACTGTAGATTTATAATCAAAAGTTGTCAAGAAGGAATGGATGATTGATTTGTAGAGTATCGATCAGGACCTCATTACTGTTAGATCTTAGAACTGCTTTGGTTGGGCCCAATAGAGTGCTGACTTGGGATTTTTCTTGATACCAAATAAGAAAAATACTTGTAACTTACTTTAAAATGCTTGTTGGCTGTCAGTTGGCTAGTCTCAGGGACCAACATTATGATGCTTCGATGTTGTGAAGTCACTAATTTGAAACCCAGAGAAGACATTTTTCTGTCTTGAAAATATAACCATCCAGAGATTTTCTACAACTCCGAGATTAAATGGGAAAAAAATGAAAGATTAAAGATGTCCTGAACGAATTGTTTGGGACAGGACTTCTGTCCCTAGCCCTTTAGTTGTCTTTGAATAGGAACGAGCTTTCCCCAGAGGGGGCACAGTTGAACTTGGTTGGGCCTTTCCACAGTAGACCTGCTTCCCTCTTACTCATCTAAGTGTCTCTAGCGTTATGATTTTAATTTAACCTTAGTTTGCTGTGCAAGCTACAAGAGTCAGGTTTTTCTGATTCTGCCTCTGCCTCCTGATTACCCTGTAAGCAAAGCTGATAGCAGGAAATTGCTATGGTGTAAGGCAGATGTCACAACACACACTGATTAAAACCTACACGTGTCATTCACTGCCTGATTGAAGTGATCATACAGAAGGAAAACAGATGAGAAAATGGTAAATGTGCAGGGAGGGGAGCTAGTTCATATTTCAGGTCTAAGGATAGAATAAATACTAGTGTGAGTGAGACTTATGTTTCAGCCATTTTAGTTCATTCTGAATCCTTTGAGTTCTGAGCAGGACCTGAGTCTCTGACCATAATGGGTAGGGGAGCTGGGAAGGCTGGAGAGATGGCTGAGTGGTTAAGAATGTCTATCCTTGCAGAGGATCTAAGTTGGGTTCCTGGCACCATGACAGGCAGCTTAAAACCACCTGTAGCTCTAGGGCAGTGGTTTTCAGCCTTCCTAATGCTGTGACCTTTTAATACAGTCCCTCATTTGTAGTGACCCCTGACCATTATTTTCATTGCTACTTTATAACTGTAATTTTGCTACTGTTATGAATCATAAGGTAACTATCTGATATGCAGGACATCTTATGTGCAACCCCTGTGGAAGGGTTTCCCAACCCCCAGGTTGAGAACCATTGCTCTAGGGCATTTGATTTCCTCTTTTGGCCTCAGTGGGCACCTGTACACACACATACACAGAAACACACACAAAAATCATGCTAAGCTGTTGTTTTTGCTAAATATATATTTAGCAAACGTGTATGTGTGTGTGTATGTGTGTCTGGCTCTACTGAAGACTGAACCCAGGGCTTCATACATACTAGGCAAGTACCCTACCACTCAACTATATCCCTAGCCCTGAGTTATTGCCTTTTATGAAACACATGGTGCCCTATGTGTGTGACTATAAAATAGGAGTTGAACTTTTCAAGGGGCTGCATGGCTCCAAGCAAGTTTATCTGTTATTTGGTCTACAGAGTACTGAAACTGCAGTTAAATTCAAATGATGTTTTAGGATTTGTTAGCTTCGTGTGCTCTGTGCTCTTAAGCTATTAATACTAGAGAAAGTGTTTGTCCCATTTGGGCATGGCATTTGGGAGTAGGTATAGTAAATTTCTGTTTGAGTTGTTGGTGCTTCCTTAACAGAGTACTTAAGACTAGTAAAATTATGAAGAACAGAAATGTTTTCCTCCTGGAGACCAGGAGTCCAGCATGAAAGCTCTTAAGCTTGAGTGCCTGGTGAGGGCTGAGCCTATGCTTCTGCAGTGGCACCAAATTACTGGACCCTCTAGAGGAGAAGAATTCTGCATCTTCTATGGTAGAGGAGAAGATGGACTAAATTCCTACCGATAGGAATAAGGTGAAATGATTAAAACCCAATAATTCCCATCCAAAGCATCTTAAGCAGTCTGTTTCCAGTCTTCTGCTCATGTGCTTCCCGTGTATGCCTGAGCACTAAAGAAAGCGTAGTCTTGTGGATTTTCGTTGAGTGTTGGGTTGTCAGTGTTTCTTGAGCAGAAAACAGTAAGGGTCAAATACTGTAGCCGGTGTTGAAGGCATCACTAATGATTCCCTATTTGTCTCCCTCAGGTACAGAACCATGGTATTTCTACTTAATCAATGGTTTTCTGAATTTCAATGTTGCCTTTGCTTTGGCGCTTCTGGTCTTGCCACTGACTTTTCTTATGGAGTACCTGCTGCAGAGATTCCATGGTGAGTGATTTAGGATGCGGTAGGTTTCGGGGGAGGGAGCAGAAAGCAAGTAACAGGTTAAATAGTGGAAAAACTGCTTATTTTAGTCTCCATTTTTTCTCTTTGAAAATGGTTGAATAACTGAGATTTCAGTCTGTATTTGTAGGTTATTTGAACCCATATTAAGGTTTGGTTAATTGTTTGATATAAACAAGATGGGGCTTTGTATCCTTTTAAAGCAGTGGTTTTCAACCTGTGGGTCATGATCCCTTGGGGTAGAATATCAGATATTTACATTATGATTTATAATGGTAGCAAATTTACAATTATGAAGTAGCAATGAAATAATTTGATGGCTGGCCATCACCACAGCATGAGGAACTGTATTAAAGGGTCAGGGTTAGGAAGGTTGAGAACCGCTGCGTGAAGGGAAGGAGGTCAGTGGGATTTTACCATCACTAGAGAAGCATCGATGTTGGAAAAGCTCTGGAGAGCAGCCCTTTTGAGCCATTCCCCTGTAGAGGCTCTCGGATGACTGTTGACAGTGATCCATCTGCAGACAGACACTCTGAAGCTGGAACCAAAGCAGCTGCTCTGGTCTTGCCGGGGACCGATGCTCCCAGCTCCCTCTGCTGTGTGGCACCCATGTTGCTGCAAGCTCTGACCCTGTGTCATACAGCTGCTGTTTTCTCAAGCGGGGGAGCTGGGTATCTGGTGTCTGCCCTGTGGAAGACAGATCTGAGCAGAAATTCATGAGAGATTTGGAAAGATTTACCAGGAGACATCTCAGTTGGATTTGTGTGCCAGATGATTGATCTTTCCTTCTCTCCTGTTCAGCTTTTCTTGTTAATGGTTTATATGGCATGTGCTGTCTAGACAGTGAGGGGATCTTCACTCATTTAAAAAGATTTAGAAAATTACTTGTATGTGTATGTTGGGGGAGTGTATATTGTGGAGGCCAGAGGACAATTTGTAGGAGGCAGTTTTCGCTCTCCATTGTGGGATCTTGGGATTGAGTTCAGGTTGTCAAGTTTATATGGCAGGGAAAATCTTATTACCCGCTGAGCCATCTCACTGGCCCAAGGTCAGGAGTGTTTACCTCCAAAGAGTTCTGTGGTTGCACCTATGGTCTAGCAAGCTAAATCAGACAGCTGGGAGGGCTCTTGCCTGTCACGCTGTAGACGTAATGAACAGCAGGGGGTGCTGTCTGTCCACTTCTTGACAGTTTCTGCAGCCCTCCCTCATTGTCGATAATGCCAACCCAGTATGGTTGCCTTTTTTCCTCAGTGCTCTTGTAAAGCCAGGAACTCTCCAGCAGGTGCTCAGGTGGTTCTCTGTATTCCTTTCATCCTTTCAGAGTCTTTAAGTACATGTTGGTTCCAATTTCGTGATTCAGAGTAGATGTGTATTATAAAGAGAAAACATAATCAGGAAACTTTTTATGTTTGCTTTGAAATACTGTTACTGAACATGGTAACGCTCCTGTAATCCTAGCACTCCAGAGAATGAGGCGTTTGGTTCCAGTTTGGACAACAGAACAAAACATAGCAGACTGGATTGGGTTCAAGAATTGACTTGATTTATCTTTTCTTCCTTCCTTCCTTCCTTCCTTCCTTCCTTCCTTCCTTCCTTCCTTCCTTCCTTCCTTCCTTCTCTCTCTCTCTCTCTCTCTCTCTCTCTCTCTCTCCCCCCCCTCCCTCCCTCCCCCTCCCCCCTCAAACCCACTGGTGTGTAGATAAAAGGATTACTCAAAGTGGATTTGGCTAATTTGGGGACTCTTTAGTCTTAGTGGCAGGACACATTACGGACAATATGCCTTTTATCTTTACCCAACTAGAATTTATTAAGCTCTGTTACCCATTAACTGTGCTTTCCTGTGTGTTTTAACTCTTGTACCTTCTTCTAAGCTTTGGATGTCTTGGAAGAACTCAGGAATATGTTCCTTTCTGTTTGATGTCTCCATTGTTAGAATGAGGGTAAATTCCTAAGCTGAAACATTTTATGGGATGTCCTAGGATATAGTATCAAATTTAAATAAAAACAAACTTTGAAACAATATATTGTTTGGTTCTCTTATGATGACAGGGGAATGTTATTTTGTCTTGCAGTTCAGAATTTAGGACACCCATATTGGCTTACCTTGGCACCCATGTACATTTGGTTTATAATTTTCTTCCTTCAACCTCACAAAGAGGAGCGGTTTCTTTTCCCCGTGTACCCACTTATATGTCTCTGTGGTGCCGTTGCTCTTTCTGCACTGCAGGTAAGTCTTAGGGAAGCGTCGGTCTGCCTCTTTATGTTTCATTTATTGCACAATTGCTTGTAAAACTTTAAGGACAGGTGGATGTCTGTGAGCTACAGGCCAGCCAGGGCTCCATAGTGAGCTCCAGGCCAGCCAGCACTACTCAGTGAGACCCTGTCTCACCCAACAGCAGCAACAACAAAAACCCTTAAAGATAAGTTACGGAGAGCACCTCTATCCATAACGTAAAACCTGCTACAGACCATACTCTGAAAGCTTTGTGTATTGATAAGAACGTGTTTCACTGTTTGCTGATTATGTTTATAATCATTTGTCTCTTGTCAGTAGGCTCCATTTACTAACGCATTTTAACTTATCATGTGGACCACTATATAGGGTGGTCCTGGGACAGACTAAACAGAATGTGGGTTCTGCAGCTATTAGATCAGAGTCAGCCGTGATCAGGACTTTGGATTACAGCAGACAATTAGCAATATGGCCAGTTTGTAATCCTGGTGTCAAGCCGGTCCAGGCCGGTTCTCTGGCAGAGTTAACCTTCCATTTGTCTGATTGCCTCTGTGTCTCTGACCTTTGCAGTTGTCAGGGAGAGAAAAAAAGGTAGTTTCCTGTTTTTAACAGGTTTAGTAGGTGAGAGTCATAAACTATGAGTTCAGCTTTCTCAAGTGTATAACTTAGTGACTTTAACATCTGACTTTGCAGATGTCTGCAGCCGCCAGCCTAGGACATTTTTATCACCTCAAAAGCCCTAAGCCCCTTACCTGTTGACCCCACCCCTTTGTCATGGTATTTTCTCAGTATCCTATCACTAATCTCCTTTGTTATCAATTTGTCTATTCTGTACATCCCATGTGAATGAAATCCTAAAGTGTGTGCTCTTTTATGACTGGCCACTTTCACTTGGCATGTTTTAAGGTTTGTCTATGTTAGGGTGATATTATATATATATATATATATATATATAATATTAATATTTATATTACATATACACATTTTGAGATGGGGGTCTCACTGTGTAGCCTTGGTATGCAGACCAGGTTGGCTTCGAATACCTCCCTAGTTCTGGGATTAATGGTGTGTGACACCATGTCCATCAGGGTGATGGTTTTAAAAGATAACTTTATTTATAAAAATATAACTTCATGTGAGATAATTTAGAAATTGCTAAAAACATTTCATCTTCCATCAAGACACCTCACACTTTTGCATCATATACTATATCAAGTTTATTGTGATTCTAATAGGCACACATGCAACTATATATCATTTTTAACTTTTGTCATAATATTGTCATATCTAAAATACTAATTTTATTCAAATATTTTAAAATAAGCTATTAGATGCCAGGTGTTGGGGCTCACATCTATAATCCTATATTTGAGGGATGGGAGCAAGAATATTGCAAACTACCCAGGGATACAGAGTAAAATCCTGTCTTGAAGCCAAAAAGAAAAACACCTAGAACTTTATGCTCCAGCAAAAATATGCACATTATTTTCCTTTGACACTAGAGTTCATTCTTGGAAAGTTGGTTGGCTAAGCAGACCTATACACAGTGCTAGAGGAGTTGACTTTGGACTTTAAATTTGGAATAGGTACCACACCAAGTGTTTGCACATGCTAGACCCTTCCTCATACCCCTTGTTCTGCTTCTGCATCCCCAGTGTTTCTGTGACGGTGTGTCTGTGTATGTTGTTTCTGTGATGGTGTGTGTCTGTGTATATTGTTTCTGTGTTGGTGTGTGTCTGTGTATATTGTTTCTGTGATGGTGTTTGGCTGTGTATATTGTTTTTGTGATGGTATGTGTCTGTGTATATTGTTTCTGTGATGGTGTGTGTCTGTGTATGTTGTTTCTGTGATGGTGTGTGTCTGTGTATATTGTTTCTGTGATGCTGTATGGCTGTGTATATTGTTTCTGTGATGGTGTGTGTCTGTGTATATTGTTTCTGTGATGGTGTGTGGCTATGTATATTGCTTCTGTGATGATGTGTATCTTCTTTATCAATATGGTTGCCTTTCCTTCTAGAAATGTTACCACTTTGTGTTTCAACGGTATCGCCTGGAGCATTACACTGTGACGTCCAGCTGGCTGGCATTAGGAACAGTCTTCCTGTTTGGGCTCTTGTCATTCTCTCGCTCTGTGGCTCTGTTCAGAGGTAGACATGCTGGGAGTGTCTTAACCCACACTCACAAAGAACTTCACCTTAGGGTTTTCTTGTAGCATGTGGTTGGCTTATACTGGGAAAAGGCCATTCCCAAAGGGAAGGCATGTAGACTTGATAGTGAGTGGGGTGTGGCTTCCATATCTCAGGACTGAAAGGAGAAGATTGCTATATCTTCACATCACTACCCATGTATACTTCATGTACCCCTCCAATAGCATTGGTTTCTCCCCGCTTTTTCAGTTTAAAAAATTTTTGTGTGTATAGTATTTTGTCTGAATGCATAGGTACCACATGGGTATCTGATTCTGTGACGGCCAGAAGAGGACATTGAATTCCCTGGAACCAGAATTACAGATAATTGTGAACTGCTGTGTGGGTGCTGGGAATTGAACCTGGAACCTCTGAAAGAGCAGTCAGTGCGTTTAACTGCTGAGCCATCTCTCCAGCCTTTCTAGTGGCTGCTGCTAATGTAATGAAGCCTATATATGTTATGCAAATTGGAGTTAAATTCTCATGGCCAAATATTTCCTAATAACCAGTATTGGGGTCATAATAGTAAAATATACCCAAAGAATAGAACTTTTAGAGGGTAGAACAGTATACAGAGAACAAGGAAGCAAGTTCCATGTGGCAAATAAGGCCTCCACTGTGGTGGTTGTCCTACCAAGAGAGACATCTGTGCTGGTAGAGCAGGCTTCCCACTGAGTTGCTGTGGGCTTTCACACTCTTAGAAATTTCATGTGGATTATAGTGGGATATTAACATGAATTATACTTAAAAGCTAGAACCTCGTCTTTGATTTTCATGAACTCTTCTCCCTTTTAGGATATCATGGGCCCCTTGATTTGTATCCAGAATTTTACCGAATTGCCACAGACCCAACTATCCACACTGTCCCAGAAGGCAGACCTGTGAATGTTTGTGTAGGAAAAGAATGGTATCGGTTTCCCAGTAGCTTCCTTCTGCCTGATAAGTAAGTTGTCCTTTAATTGATAGTATTCCTGTATGTGTGGAGGCTCTATGTGGGGATGGTATGTGTGCATGTATGTGGGTATGTGTGTGTGCACAAACATGTCAGAGGTGGACATAGAGTGCCCTCTTCTGTCACTCTCTGCCTGTTCCTTTGAGGCAGAGTCTCTCCCAGTACCTGGAGCTTGCTGCCTCCATTTTTCTTTTCCCACTAGGTTGGATGTCAGCAAGCCCTGGTGGGATCCTCCTGTCTCTGCCCGCCTCGGTGCTGAGGTTACAGGCATGTATGGGATACCTGGTGTGTTAATATGGGTGCTGGCATCTGAATTCTGGCCCTCAGACTTGCACAGCCTGCACTCTTAACCACTAAACCATCTCTCCAGTCCCTAATTCTCAGCATTTTATTTATTTATTTTTAAAAGATTGACTTCTTTTTTATGTGCATCTGTGTTTTGCTTGCATGTGTTTATGTGTACCACATGCGTGGCTGGTGCCCAACTAGGCCAGAACAGAGCATCCGGTCCTCCGAAACTGGAGTTAGGTAGTGGTTAGCTTCCATGTGGGTACTGGGAACTGAACTCAGGTTCTCTGTAGGAACAGCAAGTGCTCTTAACTTCTGGGCCATCTCTTCAGCCCTGTTTCCCAGCAATTTACATAAAAAAGTAGCAATTCTATGGCAAGATTGTGTTAGGATTTATTTGTTTTGGAGGGTTTAATTTTTTTCTTTGGAGGTGTATGTATATGTGTGTATATTTGGGACACATGCACCCATGTGTAAATGTGTGTGGAGGCCCAGAGGTCAGCTTTGGGTGTCGTTCCCCAGGCATGTCCACCCTGGTTTTTGAGACAGGGTCTCTCATGATCAGGGCTTGCCAGTTAGGCTAGGCCGGCTGGCTGGCTAGCAAGACCCTGGGGTCTTCTGTTTCTGCCCCCCCCCCAGCACTGCTATTGTAAGTACACCTCACCACAACTGGCTTTTTCACATGGGTTCTGGGACTGAACTCAGACACTGGACGTCTTCCCAGCCCTCTTTGGAGTTTTTACAGGAATTACTGAATAATTTATCTTCTTAGACTGCTGCAGAATCTGCATTGTATACCTGCCTCTCTTTTTCATAAACAGGGTGTATCTAGGTATATGCTTTGCATGTCTCCTAGTCACAGGTGTGTAAGGATTTGTGAAATGGTTTGTCCCTGGGCTTCTGCTAGTAGTGTGTGTGCATGCACACTCACATTCTTGCATGTTCATGTGTAGAGGCCAGAGGTTGATGTCATGTATCATCTTCTATTGCTCTTCACCTTCTTTGTTTATTTATTTTGCCTTTGAGCCACGGTCTCACTGTGTAACCCTGGCTGGCCTGGAACTTGCTACATAGACCAAGCTAGCCTCTTACTCAGAGATCCACCTGCCTCTGCCTCTGAGTCCTGAGATTAAAGATGTGTGCCACCATGCCCAGCTCCACTCCAGTTTTTGAGACAGGGTTTTTCTCCTTACTATACCTGGAGCCCAGGGTTTCAGCTAGCAATCCTTCCAGAATCTTCCTGTGTGTCTCCTCGGTGCTGTGCTGGGGTTACAGGTGTACACTGCCACACCGGCTTTTATCTGGGTGCTGGAGTTCCAAACACAGGTCCTCCAGCTTGCATAGCAAGCTCCTCATCCAGGCCGCTCTTCTTGAGGGCACGTATTTATCATTCTGCACTTGACGTTAACACACTTCTAACAGTGGTGTAGAGACCCTGGCAAGAAGAATGGATTTAGAAAGGAGGTTTTTCCATTCAGTAGTAAATTTCCACACTGATCCATAGGCAGTAGGGAGAGCTATGATTGAGATATACGGGCGGCATCCTTTTTACTTTGTTAGATGTGGTAACATATTACCACGGACTTGTGTGTTTTTCTTATTTGGTCCATTTTAAGTGAAAAAGACTGGTTAAGATGAGTAATGTTGCTGACTTCCACAGTTCCTCACCTGGTAATGTTGGTTTTTTTGTTGTTGCTTTGTTTTGTTATTAACATAATGAACATTTTTGTATCAGTCATAAACTTGTCTTTTAAATGGTGACCTGGGCCTTTGACTTTTATATTCCAGATCGTTTCATAGCTGAAAGACCTTTTGAGGATTATTCACACCAAAATAGTATTTTCCTAGTGTGTTTGCCATCTTTTTCTGTGCACCTGATGAGTTGGCTTTAATTCTTTAATTGTGTGTGAGATAGTAACATTTTAACACTCTCCTTGTTCTGTGGATGACTGTCTAGTTGAGAGTTTCGAAGCCGAGACTTGAGTAAAGGGATTGAGAAACCTTTAGTTGCAAATTTCTTGATTTCAGACCGACTTGTGACCTCTGCCTCTGCTTCTGGTTGAAGTTTTAGCAGAAATCATGTTTTGTTCAAGTGGAAGGTTTTCCTCGCGATTTGGGGTGAAGGGTGGTTTGTTTCAAGTCTGTTGAGCAGCATGATTGCTTTGTATTTCTCATTCTTCTCATTTGTGCTTCTGACAGTTGGCAGCTTCGGTTCATTCCATCCGAGTTCAGAGGTCAGCTACCAAAGCCTTTTGCAGAGGGACCACTGGCCACTCGGACTGTTCCTGCTCACATGAATGACCAGAACCAAGAGGAGCCTTCCAGATACGTAAGGGCTGCCAATCTTCTCTTGTTGCTGCCCAGAGAAAAAGTCACCCTAGATCTCTAGGCAGGTTACATTGGAGCACTGACCAGATGAGCATCTCAGAAAATGATTTCTTGAGGGTGAAAGATGAAATAATGCATGTGTGGAAGGAGTGAATGGAGTCATTTCTTTCCAAAGCATGCTTCATTTTCTATGTAAAGCATATAATACAGTTAACTTACAAAGCTTTGAGGGGGCTGGAGATTTTCCTGAGAGTCTTGAACTGTCTTTTTAGGTATACTGAAACTCACATCATTCCTTGGTCTATTGAAATACTTGGTGGGGAACGTCTAAGTGACCAGGTTACCTTTGACTTAGCTTTTGCTATGTTCTGCTTTTAGCACAGAGACACTCAGAAAAGCTGTTTCATAGTAAGTAAGTCCCATGGAGCAATCCCTGTCAGTGCCAGGATCTTCTACCTACTTGTCTTCACACACTCTGGAGTCATGTGAATTTTATTTGTCTCTTTTGAAAGATAACAGTTTTGACATTTGATATTGGTAGAATCTCTGGATAAAAAAGGTGAGGGCTGGCCTTGGAGATGGCTTAGTGGTGAAGGCATTGTGTGGTCCTCTGACTTCCACAATGTGGTGCCTATATGAGTTTGTGTGCTCCCTTGACACGCACATAAATAAATAAATAAATAAATATATAATTAAAAAATTTTAAAGTGATAGAATAAAATGATAAATAAAAATTATAGAATAAAATTCATAGACAATGAAAGACCATTTGGTAAAATGGTTGGAAAGCACTATTTTTTTTGCCAACTTATTATTAAATAGGTAATAGCTTAAATGTCAATATATTTAATTTGGGTTCTCTTGTGTCATATACTCAAGATATAGCATATTGAGACTTGTAGTTGTCTTCTGAAACTGACCTGCAGCCAGAGAGTGAGGCTCTCTCTTGTGTGAGCAACCTGGTGTCTGCAGTACTGGGAATCGAACCCAGGGTCTGCTGTGTGCTGGACTGGGCTACACCCCCAGAAACCTGTCATTTAGCATAGTGTCTGGTATTGAGGCTTCTCTCACAAATACTCTTCCTCTGACGAAGGATCCCTTACAGAAACTGTAATCTGCCCAGATCTTCTCCTTCCTTCTATTACTAATCTCAACCTAGTTTTGATTTGTTTATCCATGCTGTTGTCTTTTCCTTATCAGTGTCTTTGTGCTGGCGACCATGCCTGAAGTACTAGTCTCCCAGCTCATGCTATCAGAATTCTCTTCCGTGTGAGTGAACACGTTCATCTGTGTTTAGTAGGCTGTCTCTTAGTGCATGACGGATTTGTCTGCAGTCACTCAGTCACTGGCCTGCCTTCTCTTATGTTACCTGTGCATTCTGATTTGTTTGTTGTGTCTTTCCTCATGAGTGCCTGACTGCTCCAGGGGGTGACCCCCCCTGTCCCCTGTGTATTCACCACAGTGTATAGGACAGGCTTATAAACCTAGTTGCTAGCCTGCTGCTGTTACTGTAGTAATTACAGTTAGTCTCACTCTGCCAGACGCTCTCTCTCTATTTTTTATTTTTTGAGACAGGCTTTCTCTATTATGCAGCCCTGGCTGTCTTGAAACTCTCTATGTAGACCAGGCTGGCCTCAGAGATCTACCTGCCTTTGCCTCTCAATTGCTGGGATTAATGGTGGACCACCATGCCTGGCCTTCTGCTAGTTCCTTATCCAGAAATCCCAGTGGATTTCTGAAACTCTGGATGTGCTATGATTTTCCTGGACATACACCTGTGATAAACTTTAATTTACAAATTAGGCACGTTCTGAGTTCAGCAACAGCCAGGTGTGGTGGCGTACACCTTTAACCCCAGCACTGGGAAGGCAGGGGCAAGACGGGTCTCTGAGTTTGAGGCCAGCCTGAACTACAGAGTGAGTTCCAGTTCTCTACACAGAGAAACCCTGTCTTGAACTCCCTACCCCCTCCCCCGCCACTGTAAAAAATTTAACAGTAACGAAATAAAAAATTATAAATGTATACTGTATTAAAAATTATTTGACTATGTTTTCTCAAAATATTTCATTGTACTATAAATTTTAGTAACCTTCGCATAGAAATTTTTTCTTTTCTTAAGTTGAGAATTTTTTTTTTTTTTAACTTAAAGGAAATACTTTTTGGCTTCTCTTTGCCATATCCAAATTATCAACATCATTTCCTTTGTGCTATGGAGCCATTACTTAGTAAAATTAGAGTTCCTTGAGCGTGAGCACCGATGTGCTATGATAATGGGTCTGGGTCTGATAACCAAGATGCTACTGTATGATTAATGGACTGGTAGTGTATATTGTTTGGATATACACTATATATATATACACAGATATACTGGACACAAAGATGATTCAGGTGCTCAGCGGGACTGTGAGGTTTCATCATAATAGACTTTATCATACTTAGTGTGCAGTTGAGCACTTTAAGAATTGTTTATTTCAAGCCGGGCAGTGGTGGCGCACACCTTTAATCCTAGCACTCGGAAGGCAGAGCCAGGCGGATCTCTGTGAGTTTGAGGCCAGCCTGGTCTACAGAGTGAGATCCAGGACAGGCACCAAAACTACACAGAGAAACCCTGTCTCGAAAAACCAAAAAGTAAAAAATAAAATAAAATAAAAAGAATTGTTTATTTCTGGAATATTCTGTCTGTGAAGGTTATTGAAACCATGAGAAATGAAACTTTGGATGATGGGGGAATGAATTAGGGACCTAGATGATGAATCTTCACCATTGGGATAATGTTGAGAGAAAGCTGGATACAAAATTTATAGTAGTTGTCTTGGGTTAGATCATTTCATATTTCCTACTATCAGACATTGCTACATTTGATTGACTCTACATTAGCTTTACCCTAGGGGGGGAGATTTTCGTAGTTCCAGTAGGAGTCACAAAATGCTGGCTGTTAAAGGCAAGGACAGGCAAGGACAGGGTGTTTGGTACCAGCCCTGTGCTCATCTGTGCTCCTGCAGTTGAGAGTTTCTTACCGAAGCCTGCTGCACCTTCAGTGGGCTTCTTGTGTGGTAGGGAAAGTGCTTTCCAAAGCCAGGCTGTTCTCTTTGGACCTTTGGAAATCTGTAGGAACAGTTGATGGCTTATTACTAATTCCATATGAGCTGAGACTAGAGATTCATCTCTTTTTTTTTTTTTTTTTTTTTTTTTTGGTTTTTCGAGACAGGGTTTCTCTGTGTAGCTTTGCGCCTTTCCTGGAACTCACTTGGTAGACCAGGCTGGCCTCGAACTCACAGAGATCCGCCTGCCTCTGCCTCCCGAGTGCTGGGATTAAAGGCGTGCGCCACCACCGCCCGGCGAGATTCATCTCTTGGAGCTGGCTACTTAAAGATTTGTTTTCCTCTGACAATAAAAGCAATACCCATTCATTGTGTGAAATAATGACAGCGATGGCCAAGAACAAAACATCCTTTCCTTCTCCAGTTGCCATCACTGTTACTATTGTGGTGTTTTGTTTTTTCTTTTACCTTTTCAAGCTTTTATATATTGCCCACCATGGACCGTGTGGCGGTCAGAGGACTTTGTGCCGTTAGTTCCCTCCTACCTTTACATGGGTTCTGGTGCATTAGCTCATGTTGTCAGGCTTGTACAGCAAGACCTTCACTTGCTGAGCAATCTTGGTTGGCCCCTTCACTTTTCCTTCGTGTGTGTGTGTGTGTGTGTGTGTGTGTGTGTGTGTGTGTGTTCTTTAGATAGAAACAAAAATATCATTTCTTTTTAAAGTTTTTAGTCATGTTTAATTATTTAAGAAATAGTGCTAGAATTCTGACTGTAATAGCCAAACAACTAATTTATGGAAGCACATGCTTTCCTTCTCTCGTGCTTGTTCCTTTTGGTAGCAGTCACAGTTCCTATAGCAACGCGGCACCGTTCTGTTACCGTCTTTGCAGAGCACGGTAACTAGTAGGGCGTTTGTTTGCATTTACATTTTTTACATAATTACTTAATTTATTCTCCATTTGTATGTTCCCATGTAGAGGTCAGAGGACAACTTTTGGGAGTTGGTTTTCTCCTTTCACCGTGTGGGTCTTGGGTATCGAACGCAGGTCATCAGGCTTACCAGCAAGTTCATTTACCTGCTGATACTGTTGGCTCTTGTGTGCATTGTTGAGACAGGAGCTTGCTGTGTAGCCCAGCCTGACTTGGAACTCAGAACTGTTGGGGTTATAGGAGTGTGCCACCACACACATTTTGTAGCACTGTGCTTTTCGGCTCACTGACTGTCGGTGATGGGTTTTAGTCTGCTGGCAGTCTAAGATAAGTAGTTTGGTCCTTCCCTATTTCTATCCCGCATGGAAACTAGGGAAGGTGTGTTACTTCACTGTCCCTCTGTCCCCCTGAGTTTTTCAGGAATTAGGGGTGTTGCAAAGGAACTGTGGTTTCTAGTGCACTGTTAGAGCTGTATTGCAGAAATCATTTTTTCAGCCTCATATTTCACCCATTACTAAAAAATGGACTTAATAGTGGATCATGCCAAGATTTCTGCTAGAAACTAGTTCTGAGTTTAAAAGACATGTTAGTATTGCCTTTCTTGACAAATTCAGATTTTGTTCCCTATTTCAAAGCAAATAACTCTCCAGCTCTTAAGTCTGGGATCTGATTTTAGACTTACCAGACAGTGGCTAGGCATTGGAGAAGACAACTATTAAGGAAGCTTAGAGAAAAGACTTTTCTCTGACTTTGATTTGATGTGTAAATGGAGTTGCTGGGTGCTTGCTCGTGTGTTATCTTTGGAAGAAATAGATTGATCAATAAGTTTTCCCCCAAACAGCAATAGCTACAATTCTGTTACAAGATGGCGTAGAAGAGCTAAGTGTCATTGTAAAGTAAAACCCACAAAGTTTATGGGGAATGGGATTAGGGCCACAGTATAAAACACTGTTAATAAAAGGTAATTGGTAGAGTGCTTGTCTAGTGTCTGCAAGGCCCCGGGTTTGATCCCTAGCACTTCATGGTGAT